TAACCACAAAGACCTAAAACCCTAAAGTCAGTTGACCCAACGAGCCTTGCAAAAACCTTTAAGTTTCAACAAGAGCAGACACACAGCGGCGGTGCGGCATGGTAGCACATCAAAATGCAATCGTAAACGAACACACACGCACACCCTCTATCGGCATGTCATGCTTGCTCATTTTCATCTTCTGTGTTTATACAGGACCACCCGTCAATTTGCCCAGAGAAGAACACCCCAAACCCGTGGTTACCGTGGTTCGCACAGCCTGTGACGTCCGCAGGAGCATCCGCGATGTCCACAGGACCTCCGGTGGATATACAGACCACCACGGAATCAGGCGCAACTATCGGGGAGGGTACCGTATAGTACTCCAACGACGAGAGGATATGTATTGGTTTAGATATAACTACGAAGTTAAATGGTTGGTTATCTAGCTAGGTAACCAAATAGATAATTAGACGATTTTGATAGTCTTAGAGATAGGTTGGTAGAGGTGGAGATAGTTCGATCGAATGTATTGTTTACGGCCCAGCTCACCTGTCGAGGAAGTGTCGAGTTCAATCTTGGGGTTTGCTCTGCCCAGACTCTCGTGACATCTTGGAACCTGTTCAGACATCCCGTGCCAGTACGGTTGCCTGGACGATGAGCCCTAAACGGCCCTGAACCCTCAGGAATCCTACTTGTCGGATTTAGGGTTTCGGCGCTCGCACTCGGAAAATCCAGGCAAGGCATACAGTTCGACGTCTGCTGAGTGAGACTGCAACCTATGTGAGAATGACTCACAACAACTGAGCCCAATACCGACGTGGAATACCCCAAACAGAACAGAAACTCTTCCCGGCCAAGGTCCCAAGCTATAAGTTGCACCTAGTTGTCGGACCTAGGACCCTACCATCTCTAGATCGCTTCCTTGGGGAGTCCGGGTGCGAACAAAGGCCATAGGGATGATACAGCGGAAGATCAGGGGTTTTGCGGCACTAAACTCCTAAACTGCAAGCTCTAAACCCATAGACCCTAAACCCCTAAACCTTAAACCCCTAAACCCCTAAACTGCAAGCTCTAAACTCATAGACCCTAAACCCCTAAGCTGTCGTTTCACTTTACAGACGCGAACTCATATGCCTCGCCTGGATTGTCCGAGTGTCAGCGCCGAAACTGCAAGCTTTAAACTCAAACCCCCAAGTTTTCGGACCTCAGAGGCTTCCGTCACAGCGGCTGTCCGGCGCTTCGTCGGAGTGCCTCGTGCCGCAATCCCTAAAAGGTCCTAGGTAGTGTTATTGGGGGATACTTGTAGTTTCCCAAATCATAATCGTAATGCCTAATAGAGAAACCGCACATTCTACTACATAGGTGATTACTTTTGACCATGTGGGATTAGCAGCCTTGAGGGTTTCAGTGTCGGAGGTTTCGGGTTTTCGCGGCCTGGATGCAAAAAAAGGTGTTTAAGGTTTAGGATTCAGGTTTTGGGGCTTGGGCTTTGGGGTTTTTGCAGGCCGGCGGTTCAGGGAATTTTTATAGGGTAGCAATGGGTAGTACAAGGTTAATTCTTTTGCGTGTTCTACAGAGGCTTCCTGCCTGGTTTGCCTTTGCGCCTTCCTCACCTTTGGTTAGTAGGGAATGGAAGAATGGTAGTAATAGTGGTTATAATTGTACCCCATTCCTCCATTCCCGACTAACCAGAGCTAAGCTTCTTCAACTCGGAGATTTTAGGGCCACGTCGCTGCTTCGGGGCTGCTTCCGAGTCGAGGTCGTAGCTTAAGGGGCGCGTATAGATAATTCTGAATTTGTGGCTCCTTTAATCCCTCAGAAACAGCTAAAATTGTAATTTCTGCTAGGGGTCTGAATTCAGTATATGTAGGTGGGGTGCGGGGTTTGAGGGTGTTTTGGGACTGCCTTAAGGGCCTTATCCTTTAGGTTTCAGGTTGCCTTAGGCCCAAACAACCTACCTCTCTTCAGCACTTGGCAAGAAAGGTAGGTTTTTTGGAGGAGGTTTGGGTTTATGGAGGATTCCGTTCCATTCGCCCCTCGGCCGTGCATCCCTCGTATTTCCTGTCTCTACAACCGAAGCCCTCGAGCTACTTGCTCCCCCGAACCCCAATGAAGAAGCCGGAATACTTACTAAAACTATTCCTGAAGGGTTCCAAGTAAGTCTAGTTATTTGTTCCCCATTTTTCCCCCAAAACCCCTCGTCGAATTATTAAACCTTCTGAGCCGCAAGCCCTCAAGCCATCCCCTTCGGCAGCAAGGGGCAGCGCGGCTTGGTGACGGATGAAGGGATCTCCGCACTACTCTGACTCAGGGCCAAGGGCTTCGGTCGGCTTAGGACGATTGCGGTTGAAGCTCTGAGATTGCGAATGGAACAGATTTACTCAGCGTCTGGCAGTTTAGGGCTTAGTGACTATTCTAGTGTCCTGGAAGGAATTCAGGATTTGAAGAGTCTATTTCGGACTTGACGTTTATACGTTGCAAGGGATTAGACTTTCAGGTTTGATGGTGTGCCGTACCGGGTTTTCATGCATAATAAGGTTCAGGTCGGATCGCGTTTTGACTTAGTTGAGGGTTCACGGTTGAGACTGTTAGTGGTAGAGGCATCAGGAACGAAGCTTTGAACCTGAAACCCTAAACCCTAAACCCCTATACACTTTCTGTCTGCGCAAACTGTTCAGGGTGCAACGTCCAGCTCGGCCCGCCTTACACGGACGAGCTTTGTGGAATAATGTAGGGGCCTCAATAGTTACCAATACTATTGTGGGTATTCCTTTTTATGATTGTAGTAGGATTTGCTCAAAACCCTATTCTGATCATTAAGCTCCTACATCATAGAACCCTATTATGGACCCCGTTTCAAGGGGCCCTTTAAGCGCCTTGTCATGACCTTTTCCGGGGAGAAGTCTTTGATGAGATCCTACTCATCGCAATGGGACCTGCCGATGCGAGAAGTCCATGGTTGCAGGTCAGCCAGCAAGGCTATTATAGGGGCCTTAATGATTACCTATATTCTACTACCTTGGCCTTGGAAGTTCCCCCATCATAAGTATAACAGCATAATAGACGTACCCCAAAACCCTATTGTAATCATTGAGGCCCCTACATTAGAGATGGATGTACAGGCAGAGAGGGGGAAAGGTGACCAAACATGTTGCGAGCCAACTAGGCGATCGATTCTGATAGCACAAAGAAGAGCAGAAGGACAGCAGCGAAGTAGACCAGCACGACAACTGGGTTCTTGTTAAGGGATGTACTGTATGTTACCAAAATAATGGGGATCGATAGTAAATAATATGGTTTCCCTTTTATAGTTACTTAATGAATTATAGCAAGAACCCAGACAAGTGTTACGACATCATTTGCAACAAAGCCGTTAGTAGCAGTAGCCGTCGTCATCGTAGTGACGGTGGATGATCGGTGGCGTCGTGCTGGTAGTGGACGGTTTCGTCGAAGATAATTCTGAACTGGTGATACGGTGGCTGGGTACCAGTAGTCCTGTTCATTTTGTTAGTAGCCATGCCGATACTGCTTCTTGTGTTGCTTTTGTGGCGGGTAGCGGTGCTGGTTCTGGTTTCGGTGTTGTTGCTTCTTGCTGTCGGCACCATGGTAATACCTGGCTGTGGTTGATCATGGACGTGGCCGTTTTGCGAGCGGTGTGGTACTGCCGTCGTCGTACGAGTGCGAGCCGCATCATTCAAGCCTCGGAAAATGAAGCTTGATTGTCGTTGACTCTGCGCTTCACATAGTTTGGGCTGGTTTAAGTGCGGTTCCGGGCCCTATCCGTCCAGGGATAGGAACGAAGCGGACCGTGTTCGGTCACGGCCCATGTCTTTCACCCAGACATCAGCAAGGCTGGCCAGCAGCAAAAAGAGCCGAACCCGTCTGCTCCAAAATCGCTTCGGTCAGGCGTCGTTAGTCGACTCCAACCCTGAGCTCCTAAACCCTATATATAAAGCCTTAAAACCCCTAAACCCTATAAGGCCTAAACCCCTAAACCCTAAATTCCTTAAGCCCTAGACCCTAAATCCCTTAAGGCCTAAACCCCCAAAGCCCTAAACCCAAAGCCCTAAGCCCGAATCCCAAGCCTGTATGCACGCAGGGATATGAAGGCCCTGAGCCGAGAACCTCCAGGCCGTTTTATACTGCGTTGTAAATCTGAAACTGAAGAAGCACAATATACCAAAATTTGACATAATAGTAATATTATATTTATATTATGTTACATGTTGGTATATTGTGTTCTGAATTTGATATTATGAACCACCTGGTGGTTTCTGTCGAAGATCTTCTTTGAGTTTCGTGCACTTACCGGATAGATCCGGTACACCAAACGCCATAGAAAAGGCTGGTCCTCGGCCTAAATCCTAAACCCCTACACCTTCAACCCCTAAACAGGCAAACCTTGAAACCCCTAAACCCTAACCCCTAAGCCAAGGGCAAGATCCGACAAACAAAAACAAAACTGCCCAAGCGCCAAAGATCTAATGTATCATAGGGACCCTTAGGGGGGGAGGCGGGTAGGGGACTATACTTCCTTAAAATAGACCTATATTAAATCCTTAATATAGGTACTAAGGCTCCCTACCCCCCTACCCCCCACCCCCCTAAGGGTCCTTATGAATGTAGCAGCCTTAATAACTAGACTAGGTCATAGGGTTGCTTGAAAAGGGGTCCATAAGGGTTACTGTGAGGATTCTATGATATAAGGGCTTTCATAATTGGAATAGGGTTTGGTCGTATATTATACTGATGACTATAATAGTTATAAGGAGAAACCCCGAAACACTATTCTAGTTAATGAGGCTCCTACAGGAATCAAAAAGTTGAGCGCATTATACGGCCTGTTGTGCACTCACACCCTAAACCCTACACCCTCAGATTTCGGATGTCTAGCCGTTGGAGTTTGCTCTTGGTGCTTGGGGCTGAGTGGGGCTATAAGACCCATTGTAGGAGTAATACTTCTAGTTACCCTACTGAAAACTCCACTTATAACTACCCATGAACCTCCAAGTGCCGAGGATCGTGGGCAGCTTCTCCGTGGATGGGCGCCCTGGGTCTAAACTGGAAACCGGTGCTCGATCAAACTGAGGGCTGAAGGTATATGATAGTGTATAACTGTATTACGGTATCGTATGACACTGCATGATGCTGCAACTTAGGCACACTAGACTACTCTACCGGTATGTTGATTACTGGGATAGTAGCTCTACAGGTATTCAGGCGCCTGTGTTAAACCTCCAAGCTTTATAAACCCTAAACCCTCCGCTAAAGCGTCGGATTTCATGCTCTGGGTCTGATAATGCAGGAGCCTTAATAGTCAGAATATGTTTTTTTTTTTTGGGGGGGGGGGGTTGGGTCCATATTACAAGGGTAGTATAATGGTTCCAAAAACCCGATTGTTTAGGCCCTGATATTAGTCAGTCTTGGGAGACGTCCGGCAATGGCTTGGGCAAGCGGTTTAGGCTTCGTTGTTGCTAGTACGTTACATTTTGCTATAGTGTAATATACCCAGAGTTTAGGGTTCTTAGTATATGACGGTAGTATACTCGGAGGCTGACATCGGTCCTCTTGTGGTCCCAGGGTTCAAGTAGCCGGAGTCAGCGGGACCACCACACCGGGACCAACCTCGGCCATGGAAGACCTAGTAGTAGAGTAGGTAACCTTTAACCTTTTTTGGGTAGCAAAGTCCCTGTATAATCCCTATATATATATATATATATGTGGATTTTACAGGGATTATACTACCCAAAAAACGTTAAAGTATACCATATAACCACAAAGGCTAACCTTTAGTTCCCCATGATACCCGACAAGTAGGAAGAGGCGAGATGAGTGAAGTCGACTCCAAACCCTCGGTGCCGATCTGATGTAGGGTGACGTGTCTTTTTGGGAGGTTCCGAAAATTAGGGGTTCCTTATTTTGGGGTCCTTATAATAAGGATCCGACTATTTAGGGTACTATATTAGGCCTCCTAGTTTTGGAAACCCTCATATCTGTACCAAAATCCTTAAGCCCGGCGCAACTCGTACTCGCGGGCTTGAAGTCGAAGACCTGGCCGCCTAGGCTGCACGTCCATGAGGACCTCATCTTCAGATCTCAAGCTGATGAAGTCACTCACACATACATATATACATATTGTGTATATATATATATATAGAGGTATACGTATGTGTGTGTATATATATATGTGTGTATGTATACTGTTCGATCTCATGGCATACCAAACATTAATCCAAAACCAGACCCAGAAGCCTTCCATCCTAACCTCGACACCCGAAGCAAGACGCCTCAGCCCTGATCAGTAGTGCTGTACAGCAAACCCCATAGAGTTGGAAACCGGATTAAGACCAAATAGTGCTGGCATTCTTTATACATTACTCGTAAGGATTGAGGCCATTGGGTTTCCAAGTCTTGGGCTTCTGCTTTAGGATGACCTGCGCATCGTGTGCGGCTTGCCTGCAGTGGCGGAAGTGCAGTTGAGAGCCTGAGATCCGGGGGATGGAGAGTTTCGGCTTTAGGGTTCCAGGCGGGCATGTGCAAGTCTGTGCAAAAAGGGAACTATATTGTTGATAGGTTTAGAGGCAAGCAGCCAACACTAACAAGATTTGTTGATAGAACCCTGGCAAAGACCTCGGTAAGTCGGGCTATGTAGGTCAGATCGCTGCAATCTGGACACCTGTCCACCGAACCCGAATCCAGTTTAGGGTTTAGGGGTATAGGTGTCAGCGGGGGCCCAGGCTAAGACTGGCCTAGAGTTCGGGATAGCCTAGACTAGCCTGCCAGGACCTGCCGTTTGCAGGCTCCGTGTAAGTTCCATATTAGACAAAAGAAGCTGCAAAAAAGGTAGGTTAAGATAGGTGAAGGTAGAGTCTAGAGCACGGCTACGCCGTAGAATAACTCTCGCATAGCGACCACTTCTGAAGTTCCGCACGATGTTGCGCACAGCTTCCCAGTGGCATACGAGGGAGAAGTCCAACGATAATGTGGAGCACGTTTGAGGTGAGTGGCGTGCATGCAGGTTGATTTAGTGTTACCTGTTGTGCGGTCAGGGTTCGTGGTGTCAGGTATTTGGGTGGATGCAAGCCGAACAAGCATAGTCGCCGTCGTTTTGCGTTAAAAACTCCCCTGACATGCTGTTGTATGGGTGATGGAGTCGCGCTTGCGGTCTACCGGACCTTCAAACATGTAAGTCTCATCAATGAAGTGAACTGTACTACTTGCTAGTTGCGGCGGGCCCCCGATTGCAGTTATTTTGAGGTCGGGGCCGTCGAGCGGGCCATCACAGCAGTGCAGGGCGTGGAGAGCTTCAGCTGAGATTGGCTCACAACCTAACACGGGCCGAGCGTTTGGATGGTCCTGCCGCACTTTCATTCATGCTTCCGACCAGCTTGAAAACCTGCTGTGCATATTTCAATATTCATTCAACACTATGCCGCAAGCGGCACCTGTCAAGCCCCAACCCCCCCCCCCCCCCCCCCCCCCCCCCCTCTCCACAGCTTGTTTGCAAGATTCGAAAATGAGTTTCAGCACATAGGAAGCACTACGGAACTACGAACGAAACCCCTAAATCCCAAGGCCCTAGCACCATGTGACTGACAAAGGAAACCATGCCATAAACCCTAACGACGCCCCAAACCAGCCAAACTCTAGGCTCGAACCTGGCTTGGGTGTTCGATGGTTTTGATGGGTTTCGGGTTGAAGGTTTTATTGGGAAGTTCCGCTCGGTTTAGGGCTCGGGTTTTTCAACCTTCCTAAACCATATACCCTCCGGTCCACGTTCTAGAGCGAACTGACAGGTCTGCAGATGTCTCCTTGACTGCTCACAGGGCGGAGGCATGGTGACATCACCCGGTTTGCAGACCTCTCCTTGACCCCACCATTGAAAATTGAAATAGTATCCTTGAGTCAAGTACTCGCAGAGAGGATCCCTATCAAGGATGCGTCGCTTGGGGAAAACTCGCGGCCTTCATCTCACTTACGTTACCTGCATAGCAAAGGGTGCAAACTCCTGCTAGTCTCTTGTATCCTTATTTCAACTCTTCCTACCTCCCTCCGGCATTTCAGAGAGGCTCTCGAAAGCCCCAAGCATCACGAAATTCGCCACCAGGCCCCTATCGTGCTACACACACCCTACTATGTCCCTGCCGTGCCTCCTAGAACCCAAGGGGTCCAAGTACCATTATAGTAGGTACTCAGTAGGTATTTGGTCCCCAAAAGTACATACTATACTATTGCTTGGACCCTAAACCCATAAACCCTGTACCGTGGCCACTTGGAGGTTCGATTTCGTGCGCCGGCGCAGGCTGCAGATATCGTCCACTCCTCAGATTACCAATGAGCGGACTTTGGGGTTGCATCCGTATGAGAGTTTCCGAAAATAGGGGGCCCTAGTATAGTAGGATCCTTATTAGGACCCAAGATCAGGTACCCCCAGGCTTCGGAAACTCCCAAATGCAGAACGACCATCTATGTATAGAGACCCTTAAATGGGTTCGGCTACCTGACAGAGAACCCCGCAGCCCCACACAGCGCTCGAAGCCGCAGGGTGCGGCATCCTACCAACTACCATGAACGATCCTGAAAGGGGGTGCTTGTCAAAATTATGGTCCCTTTTTGGGTCCCTAATATAGTACGGCACCTAAGGTTTTGGGGTACCCAAACAGGGACCATACTTTTGACAACAACCCAGATGAATGCAACGAGGTTTCTGCCGTGGAAGACATCGGCTTCGAAGCCGAATTCCGCAACGAGGTCCTTGCTTTGCTACGAAGTTGTAGGGATTGAGGGTTTAGGGTTTATAGGGTGTAAGGGGGTTGACAGGTGAAGTGGTCTTGTCAGGAAGTTGATCTCGTTAGGATGGTGAAGGGGCCTCGACTTGTCGCATCTTGTCGCCATAGCAAGTACAGGACCTGGGTCGTGCATCAGTTGAAGAACATGTCTGAAACTAGGCCGTAAAATCTAGCAACAACTCCTGCATGCACTTCATGGTTAGGTCCGAACAGGCAGCATCCTGGGGATGGCCTTTAGATCGAGATTGCGAGCAATATGGGGCATGATCCGTCAATCGTATGCAACCTTTGTTGACTCGATTCTCTTCTTCTGAGCTTCTGTCTGCGTTAGCTTATACTTTTCCTGACCTGGAACATCAGCACAACTTGAACCTTCAAACCTTGGGCTTCTATAATTCTATAATCCGCAGGGATTCTATATGGGGTGCTGTCAAAATGATGGTCCCTGTTTGGGTACCCTAAATATTAGGTGCCGTACTATATTAGGGACCCAGAAAGGTGACATAATTTTGACAACCACCCATAAGTGGGGATATAAGTCCCCTAATAGGAGTTATAGTTATAGTTACCCTGCTTATAACTCCACTTATAACTACATGCCTCCAAGAAGGGCCTTGAGAGTTCTGGGTCCTATAGAGGCCTTGACAGGAAAGTACCGAGCTTGGTGTTACGGCTGCCATCCCCGAGCACCGGTGAATTCGGAACCGCCAATTCGGGATTTCCGAAAATCGGGGACCCTAATATGGTACCCTATAAGTTTCGTAGGATCCCTACTGTAAGAACCTCCCCCAAAAAAGGGTACCCCTAATTTTCGGAAACTCCCAAATCGTGGCTTTGTGCCTCCGGGAAGGTTCAAGTCTCAGCGGAGCGGAGCGATCGGCCGTCAGAGCTGTCCCTCGCGCTGATACAGAGGTTAATATAGGGGCCTTAAGACCTAGAAAAATGTTCTGGGGCCCATTGTACTACAGTTATAGACGGAACCCCCCAAAACAGCATTGGTAGTCGCAGCTACGACAAATTCGCAGCAGGCGTGATAACCCTAAGCCCTAAGACCCCACTGCCGCGCATGAAACCACATCATGTCCCTAGGTTTCCATAATTGTCCGACGTAAAGGTCCTCCAGGCAGTATGGTCAGGGGTGTAAGGCTCCAGGATTCTTCGTGACATTCCTTCCCAGGGTTTGCTATTGTTTAGATTTCTAGTTGTTCTGGTTCGGATGCTGCTGGGTCCAGGGCTTTTCGAGCACCTTCAGGAATTTGGGGTGGACGGACTTAGATGCAAGATGCTGTTATAGACATTTCCCAGAAGCACAACTGACATGTGCTGAGACTGCTCGGGAGCTAGGTGACCCCGGAAACCCACCCCAAACCCCAAACTCTTTGTCGGAAACCCCAGGCTAATCAGCTGCACAGGCCCAAGGCCACTGGCATTCATATTTAAAAGAAACACGATCCCCGAAAAGCGAAGGTCAATAATCAAACTAAGCGACAACATACAACATATAGCATATACTATGTATCATTAAGCACACCATCCACACATATATATATATATATATATATATATGTATACACACACATTAAAATATGTAAGCCGCACCCCTTCAGGGTGGTCCTACAGCTTGTTTGAGCCTGCGGCCCGATGCCTTTGACCCTGAAAAAGTTTAAACCCGGGATGAACCTATATACTATAAAACTGTTAAAATCACTATAAGACCTTAATGTAACATAAGCCCTGTACCATCTACAATCTTTTCAACCTGTATACTTTCTGATATGTTTGCGTACTCGAATCGCAGAATATGCTTCAGCTCCAGGTGTGTGGCTCTGCGCGGCGGCGCCTCCGAGTCGGAACTCCGCAAGGCCAACTCCCCAAGCGCCGGTTTTAGGGGTGTACCTACAGTCTCCATTGTAGTTCCGTTTTTGGTTAACCAAAACTTCCAAATCTCTATTATAAGGTTCTAACCACAAAACTGATTAACAAAAGAAGGAACTACAATGGATGCTATAGGTAGGGATTGGGGTTCACTTTGCAGGGGCCCAAGGTGCCATGTTTAGGCTTTTTCGGGAGCTCTTCAAGCTGGCATGAGGGTCCTGGGAAGGGATGTTAGGTGTGGCGGTGCCGACTTAAACCCCTGCTCGGGCTTGAGGGTCTTTGGGTGGGTCTTCCCAGCTTTAGGACGGCAGGGATCTGAGGGTCGAGGGTTTGAGGTTCCAGCTGTGGTGCAAGATTCGAAGGCTTTTCGTGAGTTCGGGTTTAGGCGAGATTCATGTTGCTTTCAGTGCCATGCCAAACTTCATCACAATCGAGGAAGACGTGTGAGACCCTGGACCAAACGTTGGTTTAGGGCTTAGGGTTTAGGCGGTTTAGGTATATAATTGCCAAACCCATACCCCAGAACCCCATTCTACTCGTCAAGAGAGAGCAGCTATTCCTCAAAAATATTCTACAGACCCCAGAGTTTGCACCATGGATTTGCTGGGTACCATACTGGCATACTTGTTCTGGCACCTGTTCCTTAAGGGAACCATCATGAAGTAGCAGTTTCTACATTTTCTCCTTGGTCACTTCCAAGTGCAGCATCTTGAGATTTCGAATGTTTCAAGCATCAACCCTAAGCACTAAGCCCATTCTTCGGTTTCTTGGTTTCTTTGACCTTCCATCTGCAGTAGATTGAGCTACCAAACCTACTGTTCTGTAGGGTCCATACAATACTCTATATTGGGGTTTACATGGTTTACAGTTAGAGCCTACAAAAACTTAGCTTACCCATAGTTTCCATTGTAGTTCCTTCTTTTTGTTAACCAGTTTTATGGTTAGGATCCTATAACAAAGATTTTGTTTAAACAAAGGAACTACAATGGAGACTATAGGTATGGCAGTAAGCCCAGAACCCGATGCCAAAGTGCCTGGAAGCAGGCTGCCTCCGTTGTGCATGGAGCAGCTCGACTGCGCGGGATGAGTTCATCCCACCCCTTGGCGTTCGGATTCTCGAGGTTTGTGATAGCCTTACCTAATTTTTTATTATACTGTTTTATGGATTCCTTGTTGGGCAACGAGCACGAGCACAGATTTTGTGCCTGCAGTGCAGGTTCGTCTAAGTTAGGCAGTTGAGGCTGGTTTTCAGGATGGAAGTTCCTCTACTATAGGGGCCTTAATAAAAACCAGTACTACTGTGGGGTTCCTTATTGTAATTGTAGCATAATGGCCCCCAAAACCCTATTCTAGTTATTAAGGCCCCCATATTAGACCTCGAACCCCTCAGCCCCGCTTTCATGTGCTTGTGCCGTTCAAGCTTCAGAGGGCTATTTGAGGCCAGGTTGCAGGTGTCCAAGAACCACCCAGAGAGCCTTTTACCCCTTAATTCAGGAATAGACCTTTAATCATAATATGAAGCCCTATACATTTTAAGCCATCTTCGCTAATTAAGGGGCATTGGGCTCTCTGGGCAACGGTTTTACTCAAACTCCGCACCTCAAGCGCAACATGTTTGTCCGAAGAGAAGATCGGGCAGAAGGACAGGGGAGTGTGTGAAGATGTGTGGTGACGACATCGTGAGAATGCTCTTGCCTAGGGTTAGAGTGTAAGAAGCAGCTGGCAAGTGGGGCCTCCGAAAGATTGTGTGCCGCAACACCTTTTGCCATGCTTCATCCTACACGGCGCACAACAACAACTACTACTGCTGCTCCTCCTCCTCCTCCTGCTGCTCCTGCTGCTCCTGCTGTACTACTACGACGACGAAAGGCTATCATGGAGAGTTCTCCAAGCCTGGGAGGTAAGCTCCAGTATTTACCCCTCCCCTCTAACCCCGTTCTGTGTATTCAGCCTCCTGCATTCGAGAATGAACGCCGAGGTTCACACTCCACCTTTCAAATGCTCATCGCTCGTGCAAGGTGCAGGGCATCGTGATGCAGAAGACCGAGCAACATGCCGCTCAGCTACACTTTCTGCTGTCTGGGAAGTTCAATATGGGAGTTTCCGAAAATAGGGGACCCCAATATAGTACCCTAAATAGTAGGATCCTTATTATAAGGACCCCCAAAACAAGGTACCCCTAATTTTCGGAAAGTCCCATATTCCGGCTCGTCGACCTTCTTCACCGGCGGAAGTCGATGGGGTTGTTGTACGTAGTATCTTCCAGATGTGCAGAACGTGAGGATGTCGGGCTTCTGCTCTTCATGCTGTTGTGTTACTACCTATAATAAAGAGCCCTACGATTTTGGGGTGACGAGGCGTCATGGTGGCTCCTACAGTGGAGACAAGGTAGCCAGGAAAGGACGCACTTTTGATGGCAAAGTCGAGGCAACGTCCGGATCTCAACAGTAGTCCGGCCAAGACCAGGGGTGCCAGAAATCCTTGTTTCGACCAGGTGTTCAAAATGCGAGATGAGGTTCTGACCAAAGATGTTTGCACCCTGAGCGGATCCTCTCACACATGTTTTAAGTTTGGAAAAGATCGACTATGTATCCCGATAATGATGGGCTGTTTGGTGCCATCCCGAGACAGGGTTCGATATATCGATATGCAGTTTAGCATATACTTATTGACTGGAACCAGAGCGTGGCCAGTGATGGATCGCAGGTTTGTTGCATCCCCTTCCGGAGCCATGAAATGTAACAAAAGCTTGAATGCCCAGAACTTACGAATGCCCCTCTGAAGCAAAACTTCAGACAGCTGCAAGCTCGAAAGCTCCCCCGGCCGCGGTGATGCTAGCGGCACTAAGGCTCGCATCCTCTACAATCCGTCCAAGGCTCTCCCCACATTGTCAGTTGGGTCTTCTTGACCGTGTCTAACCATTGATATTGGGGGAGCTAAGGAGCCAGGGATGATGATAATCCCTACTAGATAAGGAGCTAAAGGGCCAAGGGAACCCCCAAAACCACTGGTTAGGTGTTCTCATTTGGATGCAAAAAAGGGTGGCCTAGGGGTGCAGGGCTTTCACGCATCTCATTTAACCCCTCCCCTCCTGACATTAAAGAGACAGTCACTGAGCACCCCCCCTTCCCCAACCCTAAACCCTAAACCTTCAACCCGAAACCCTACAAACTCAGAAAAACAGCCCTATAAGTTTAACCAGGGAGGGTTCGCGGGTTCGGCAGGCTTGCTGTAGTCTTGCCCCTGTTCAAAAGTTCTTCGGGCGCATTTCGGGCCAAATGCTCCCCGATTTTTTTATAGTAGGGTAGGAGAAGAAGATCACTGTCAAGCGAATCCGCATTGAAAGACTGGACTGAAATTCAGCAATTGTGTTAGTCGCGTCGGTGTTTGGCTTCTTGAGTCTGCTGCCCAGCATCAACACTGTCACTGCCTGAAGCTGAGAACCCGTGACGAAGCACAAAGAAAGGTTGCTAACTTGACTACTCCACACTCCAAGCTTTGACTTTAAAACTGACATCCTGAAAGCATTATGTGCCCTTATGCCCCTCAACTCCGAAAGCCTTATGTGCAAGCAGCTCTAGCCGAGCGCGAACGCTGAGAACAGGTCGGCGCAAGGGTTCTGCTTCGAGAGCTGCAAGGAGCGCCCAGGTAAGAAAAAGCTTACGTTTCGTATTCGGATGTTCGGGATTTCGGCAGTTTGGGCTGAAGGTTGTATCGAATTCCCGGGAAAACCCTAAACCCTGGCTTTGTCCGAGTGTGAGTGTCAAAAACAGGCCACTAAAACTCTAAAGCTTCAACCCCCGACATGGCCAGGGTCAGGGGAAGAGGAGGTCCCTCGCAAAAGGGGGTGATGATGAAGGCAGCTGGCCGTTTGTAACCAACAACTTTTGCTAAACCTTGGGTACGGCCCCCACTCAGTAACAGTTGGGTAATATTCATAATATAGATATATAAGGCCCTTAATAGTAGCCCTATTATAGACTGTTACTGTATGGGGGCCGTAACGAAGCTAAACCCTGAACCCCAAAACTTTTACCAAATTCTGAGCCGCCTCGTTCGGCGACCATGCCATGAACCATTTAGGGTTCCTGAATTGGGTGACACTTCTGAGGGTTTTCGCAACTAACCGGAGTCTCTCTTAGAGATCCGCTGGTTTTGCAAACTCTCGATTTGCGTTAGACTCAATAGTCGGATGAACATAGAACCTGGCGGAACTGGCCAAGTTCCCTGAAAGATTAGCCCTACACCCCTAAACCCTAAGCCCCTTAACCCTAGCTGTGGCCACGGGCATGAGATCTTTTGAGCAGGATGAACGCAAAGGAACATTGCATAGCAGCAAAAAACAGTGGACCAGCTGAAACAAACAAGCGCTGGTCGTTTCGGTGTGATCTCTGCTTTCTATGTTGTGCCGGCATCTTAACAGCTTTAGCATAAATGCTTGGGATGCATCGTCGAGTGGTCAGTTATCAATTTGTTGAGGAGGTTCTTCCCTCACAGGTTTTCTTGACTCGCGGAGCGGAAGGCAAGAGCCCGAATAAATCCGCTGCCAGCTGTACACTCCAGATGAACCTGGCTTTCAAGCAGATCTTGCTCTCGGAATTGTGGAAATTGGTTTAGGGCTTCAGGTGGAGTAAGGACAACAGACTTCAGGGGTACATAAGTGGAGAGTATGGGGGTAAACCCTAAGCCGTCAGCTGCAAGCCATATACCTTAAGAGCTTAGGTTCAGGATTCAAGCACAGCTGAGGTGTGTGAGTACAACCAGCATGTCGCTGACGATCCATCGTTGCACATGTTGACAAAGCTCCCTGGCTGGCAGAGTGGGGCTTGGGTTGTACGGTGCATTACACGACTTCTGCCAGTCAGGGTGCTGCTGATGATGAGTATTGCGATTCTTCTCAGGGGTTGGTGTTGAACATTTCCAATCCCAGCTCGTCACTGCCATGTGCTGTGACTACATGCAGATTTCAGTGATGTTATCGGGATTCGCCTCGTACATTTGAGGAGGAGCTCTCGACGTATAGAATCAGCAGCAGCCTTATCAGCCCCGCAAACAGGGGCGCTGATTTAGCACCGCTTGCTCGAGCGATGCAGCTCACCCTAACGCAAGGCTCCCCTAAACCCTAAACCCTAAACCCACAGTTCGGCTTGCTTCGGTTTGCAAATCCAAGGTTTCGGGTTGAGTAGAGGAGTCGGATTGACAGGTAATCTTCGCAATAAATGTCTATCCTCAAGATATACTGAAATTTATAACATCCCTCCAGAACCCTTTTCTAACCCTATATAGACCCTAAGAGCCCTACTCTACCATGTTCGTAGTTTCCGAGCTGCGGGTTGATCTGTGGAGCGTCAGGTTGCGAAGCCGCTTTTTCCTGTCGCTGGCGCCCACTGTGCTGATGCTTGGCACGCAGCTTTTGAGAACTCACTAAAACCTTATAGAAGCCCTCAACAGCATTGCAGGGTTAGGTTTTAGCTTTCGGATCTAAGTACCTTTAGGTGCATTGATGTTGCGCTTCTGCCTGTCACGTTGCATGCCTCCGTCCACCGGTTGCTGAACGTGCAAGCTGGTCGAACTCTGCTGCTCTTCGGTGTCTGCGATTGGCGACTGCTGCCCAGACATGATCGTGCCGGGGCTTCCTTCTTAAAGCTTATGACAACCGGCGACATGGTTTTAAGCTCTTCAAGATTGCTCGCGTAGGTCTTAAGGTTGGCCTGTGCAGAGCCGCACCACATCCCTGTTGCGACCCTTCTCGGAACATGCATCCATCCATCCTTCGATCCATCCATCTGCATGCAGGCATGCATTCATACATGCATACAGACTACTACATGCATGCACACATACATACAGACATCCTTACATCCTTATATGTAACTATGTAACATGTCTACATACTTCCCTCCATATTTTCCTACCTACCTACGTACCTACATGTACCTACATACATAGATGCGGGCATGCATGCATGTGTTTGTGCGCGCGTGCGTGTGTATGTGTATGTTCAGTTGGGAACATCAGTTCAGTTGCTTTTGCATTACATCGACTCTTGACTCGTGTGTGTTTTTTTCCATGGCGAAGGGCTGGTAGAGTTGGCACCCTGCGACTGTGAGGATTGTCTTACTTGCCGAAGATTTCTGGCCGGATGCCTGGGACAATGACTCTCGGCTGCATTGGATGATAGCTGCTGCGAGGTTCTGGCGGTCCTCAGCCGCAAGAACGATCAACAGGCATTGAGCCGACGTATTATGGATCCATTGTACTGACTTCGAAGCTGTCAATGCGGCAGGCTAAACCAGCTAAACCCAACTAAGACTGTGGACGGCATACCGTTTGCCTTCCTGCTGCTTGGCATCCACCTTTAGCGCGCTGTCTGGACTTCGGAAGCAGGCCCCGGCAGAGAATGCCCGTTTTGATGGACAGGCATAGGGGCATTTATAAACTACACTGCCAAAGAGTGAGGTTTTACAGCCATCTTTGCTGCAATACACCAAGCAGTGCTACCACCTGACATTTCCCTTCTCGCCCCTCTCTGCTCCCGCATCCACCTCCACTCTGGTGCGTCGCGTCGTTGATTAAGTTAGGGTGAGCGCATGTCCTTCTTCAGGGACAGGCTAGGGGCCAGCAAAGCATGCTTCGTGTGCCTCGTCATTGAATCGGCTTTGTCCTTAGCACTAACCTCGCCATTTCTTCGCGCAGTTCTTGTCCGAACTCCCAGCTCCGGAACGCTCCGGAAATTGCCATCTCCATTTCAGGATCAGGTTTAGGGTTTTGGGTTATTGGATTTAGGTTTGCGGCTTAACGGAATTTCTGAGCTGCGAGCGGAGAGACAGGAATAGTAATGTCACGTTTACTAAGGGGCAGGAATCATCAGCAGTAAGTTAAAAGTCCTTATATAGCCCTACAGTAGTGTCCTCCAAAGCCCCATAATTTTCCTAGGCGCAGATACCAAACTGTACAAACCCTATATTCAGACTCCCTTACATGCACCTTTTAACTACATTCAGGTTCCTGCACTGCGCTCAACCCTAAACACCAAACCCTTAGCCGTAACCCCAAACGCTAAACTTGCTCTGATGCTGTTGATCATAAGCCCTTAACCCTACACCCCAAAGCCTCAACCTCAACCAAAACTTATTGTATTGCATTGGAATTGAATGAGGTTTGAGTATATAGACATATCAGGCCCGTTCTAGTAGCCCTATGACAGTATTGCCCTTAAGCATATGGGCGGTTGTCAAGATTATGGTTCCTTTTTGGGTCCCTAGGATAATACGGCGCCTAATATCTAGGGTGCCCGAAAAGGGACCCTAATTTTGACAACCGACATACGACCCCAACCTGCTCAGGTATCTCATCCTTCTCTCGGGGTTTGTCCAGTTGAGACCTCAGATGGCCGTCCTTTTTTGCGTGTATACCCAGAGGCCCCAAAGGTAGTTCCTTTTTGGGGTCCATATTTAGAATCCTATATGGTAATCCCAAAAAGGAACTACTTTGGGGCCTTCGGGCAAGCAACATTGAGCAGAGTAGGACTTCACGAACACACCCCTGCGCTACCGTTCTGCGTGGTACTTGGAGGTTCACGGGTAATTGTAATAAGTTAATTACAGCCCTATTAGGGGACTTATAACCACACTTATAACTTACAACTAACCCACGAACCTCCAAGTATGCCAGACTCTAAAACCTCATCGAGCCTCAATCTGGACATTCTCCGCTTTGCTCACGGAAGCCCGACATCCCAGAATCTCAGATCCAACAAGTCCAGAAAGGTTCAGGGATTACCAAAATCCGGATGGACCAGAAGGGGTTTAGGGTTTATTGCGAAACAGCCGTGCCGGTCGCAGAAAACATATGTTTTTGTTGACAGAGTTCTTTGCGTCCTGCCGCGCGAGTTCGACGTCGTATTGTGCTAGATGAGAGCAGCCCTAAACTTTAAACCATGAGACCAGTCGAATCCAAACAGCAACAAAACCCCAAAGCCTTAAACTCCCTCGAGGCCCCGTGAAGGAACCTGAGCAACTAAGACTGTCCTGGCTCTAAGCCCCCCAACAAAGCACCAGACTCTTTACCATATCATGGGTCTCACGCCTAAACCCTAAACCGCTCAGACCTTCGAGGGCTTTCCAAGCTCAGTCGAAAATCTGGGAGTTTCCGAAATCGGGGACCTTGATATAGTTAGTATGATCCTACTATGCGGAACCCCAAAATAAGGTATCTCCAATTTTCGGGAACTCCCATCTAGAGGTTCTGGTGCGGGCACGTCTTTCACTCCTCGGCGCTCTCGGCGCTGCAACACGGGGATCTGACCTCGGAGAAGGGTTTCGTGTTCACAGCTCCTGTCCGAACTGTAGTGTTTAGGTTTTAGGCATAGGGACTGCAATTTTGATGTTGTAGAGCCCTCGCATTGAGTTTTTTTGGGCACCAAAGGTTTGCAGGACTTTTCTGTCAGGGGAGGGTCTTCAGCTCTTCCTGTGGGGGTGGGGCGGTAAACATGAGCGTACTGGTTATCAGCGTCCTGTCTGGGCTTGTGGCACATGTCAGAGTTTTTTTGGGTTCTGTGTTGAGAAAGACACCTTCGTGCTCCGGTTCAGGGTCAAATGTTTTTCAGGGTTTGGGGTTTCGGGGCGAAGAGTTTTTCAAGCTTTTCGGCCTCGACTCCACCAGCTTAAAGAGGCCTGTAGGGTGTAGCCATGCGTGCGAGCAAGCCAGATTGCAAAGCTTGGGGCAAGTGTGTGTGTGTGTGTGTGTGTGTGTGTGTGTGTGTGCATGTGTGTGTGTGTGGTTAGTGAGTGTAGTTTGTTTGATATGGTTGGTCCACAAGTGCCGCGTTAAGTTGCAGATTCATAGTAGTTCGGTGGCATAGCATCCCATTCTTACACCGACATTCATCAACGTGTGTACAGATGTACATGCAGACAACTGGGAAGCACTTCACCTGCTGGCAGGCATGAGGGACATGGGAGCTTCAGGCTTAATGAACCAATAGGCCAATAGGATTGTTATCGGCCCCCTAACCTAAGTGTCCCATGTACCAAAATAGTATATACTTCGGCCTTAAAGTAGCAGTAGTCCCTCTATGGGTCATGGACCCTTTTTGTAAACCCTGAAGGCCGGCCAAAAGTGTGCGATATCATCGTCAGAGTTACATGAAAGGTTGTTTGGCTGGCAGCTGCAAGAACAAGAATGCCAAAAATGTCGTCATCAAAATCATCTTTTGATAGAGATCAAGCTGAGGGCGACTGCTAGCAATACGAGTAGTAGTAATCTTGCGGTTCGTAGTAGTAGCAGAAACCCTTAATCCCAATGGCCATGTGTCGCTTCCTGAGGCAACGACCATGAACACGTTGGTCTCGTTGTCCACTACGGTAGCTCGTTGGCATTTTGTCGTTATTTTTGCGCCATGACGGGTCCCCAGTCTTTGTGGCGCATAGGTTTCTCGAATTCTATGTTGAACTCTTCCAGGTTAGCACCACAGAACAGCCAAGAGCACGGCGTCATCAATGAGTGCAAACTTGGGCGAGGCAGTCCACAAATCCGAGATTCCTGAACGAGTGCAAATCAACTCCTAGAGTCCAGCCTCCGTTTTGTCCTGCAGCTTGTCTTTTCTCCTGTATTTCTCTATGACGTTCTTGCGCTGCCACCAAGGATGCTTCGTTCTACTTCACACCGTCCTCAAGAATATATGAATTTAGTTATATATATACACACATAGAGATATATACATATACACACTTAGATCCGAGACCTGTAAACCCTGAACCCAGAAAGCACTAAAACCAAAAGACCTAAAGCCCCCAAACCTAGACTCAAAACCCCATTGCCCCCAGCCCTGAACCCCAAGTTTAGCAAATCTAAAGCATACTTACTCGAGGCGTCGAGCTCTGATGCCGAGTAGCGATTCTCAAATCGCTTATGCCGACTCAGTCCCCCCCCCCCCCCAAACAGAAGCCCCATCCCAAGCATCTTACAAAACTATGGTATACTAGACCGTACTACGTATATTTTGCTATAGTAAACTTTACTAATTTACTACAGTATACTGTAAGATACTATCATGTATCACAACATACTATTCTGCACATGTCTGAGATGTCATTCCTCTATGGTGCTGCCGGCGGCCTTTACGACGCTGCATTCAGCAGCATCAGCTTTGACATGCACATGGCGGCCATGTTTTGCTTTTCGCCTGCATTTGGTCGAGTTGGCAGCTGATCGTCCTACCTAAACCCTAAACCTTATCTAGACCCCCAAGAGTAGGTAAAACAATGGCCCCAGCGTGCTTGTGGGGTCCCTATAAATCCCAAACCTATCGAGCTTTCCTCTGCAGAGTTTTTGTTTGCTCGGCTTCATCGCTGCCGGGACTCTGCTGCTGTTTTGGTCGTGATGATGCAGGAGTCTTGCCAGATTGAGGCTTCGACTTGGGTTTCCTTGTTGGGTAACTATTCGGGCTCTAAGGGGTTCAGGGTTTGGACTCAGTTTAGAGTTTTTGTTTCAGGGTTTTAGGCTTAGGGGTGCCGCGTCAGGCGAGACAAGTTCGGTCTTGATTTCGGTCACTCGGCTGCAAGAGAGGGTGCTGAACCAGCCTCCTTGATTGCGCGACAGTGCCATAGCTTTCCCAAGCAGCCGAAGCACTACAGTTGACATGAAGGAGCTGGGTCTGTGCAGCTGGCGCAGAAGAACGCCCGCTGTAGTCATATTACCATCTCCTGCTTAGCAGTTTGCAAGGTTTCCCCGTCGCAGAGGTAGCCCCCCCACTTGCCGCAGTTTTTTTGGAACATAAGTTTGCAATCTTTGGCCTTGCAATGCTTTGCTGCGAGCAGTACAGTTCTCTTGAACGGTGCAGGTCGTCAGTTTCTACAATACATCGTAGACATGGCCGTCGTCTTCTTATAACGTGCAGAGCCGCCTGGTGTTTGGGGAAGGTAAATACACATGTTGTCACAAAAAATCCTGTATAGTTTTGTCGTTCCAGAGCTCCTACATGGACATACCCTGTAAAACTATGCTAACTAAAGCCTGTTCCGTGATGGGCAACTGCACAGTCATCTTCCTGATGACGTTGCTGCTGATGCAAACGATATGTTTGTTAAGACTGTTTGAGTTTGTAGAGCTCTTGGGTGCCAACCTACGGTACCAGCACCTTAAGCAGTTTCCAGGCCAGGGACGCAATGCAACACACCTGTGCGGCTCAACTCTCCTATACAAATCCTGACCCCCAACCTTCAACCCAACATCAGTCTAGTGTGTTCTCTGCAGTGCGACTCAGGCGCCTATGCGGGTGGTGCACGAATACGCACCTAAGCCCTAAATCCTGAACCCTAAACCCCTACCCTGCAGACGCGAGCCCATATGCCTCGCCTGGATTGTCCGAGTGTGAGCGCCGAAACCCCTATACTCGTACACCGTACCTCGGCACTACCCAGCGAGGTGCTTCTCGGAGGCCGCTTGCTGGAAATCTTGGCCAAGACTCGGACAACTTCGGCAGTCAAGCAGATTTCGGCCAAGAGGCGAGTTTAGGGCTCTTGGTTCAGGGTGAGGGGTTCAGGTTTTAGGTTAAGCCAAGCTTGGGCACACGTTCTTAGCAGAGGGAGCCCCCGGGCGACGAAGCAAGCCTGCTGCAAAAGGTTAAGAAAAGCGCGTAGGGTTCAGCTTGAGACTGGCCTTGGGTTGGCAACGAGGTGCAGGGCTGTTGGGAATGCCCTCCGGGCAACTCCGATCTGAATAGGCAGCAGATTATGGAAAACAACCAGGAGACATGCCGATGAAACGCCTAAGTTCTTAGAATTTAGGGTTTAGGGATTCAGGGCTTAGCTCAAAAAAGGGCAGACCCTAAACCCTCCGGCCCGCATCACGTCGTGAGGTTTTCCGGAACTCGCTTCCGGGACAGATCAACACAGGACTTTTAATCAATACATGCGCAGACCCTGAACCTTAGCAAACTTGTAGAGCAGTTGCCCACAGACCCGCGTCAATCCTTGAGGGCGTGTGTTGTCTAAAGTCTTGAAACCCTAAACTCTACAACCGTGATATCTCAAGCTGCAGTCAAGCAGGAAGTCTGAGTCGGGTTCAGGGTCTCTGGAAACCTTACAATGTTCATCCCTGCTCTTTGCTCTCGCAAGCTTTTAGAATCCCTGCCCGACCTGAACTTATTAGGGTTTAGTGTTTAGGGTTTCATCATCTAGGGGGTCTGGATAACTTGGTACCAGTAGCCCCCGGCAATGTTAAATGCAATGAAAGAACCCTACACTCCCGTCTACGAAACCCCCAAAACCCGGGCCTGAATATTCAGGGCGGCCCCAAGCCCGAAATTCTTAATCTGAACCCTAAACCTTATAAACTCCTAAACACTAAACCCCTTAACCCTCAACCCCTAAAACCTAAACCCTAAACACTAAAACACTAAACCCCTATAAACCCTAAACCCTTAAAACCAGAAATAAACCCTAAAACCTAAATTTGAAATCTCAAGCCCATGACGGCGCCAGGCCGGAATACGCTCGCCTCTTAGAAGAGCCCGGGGATACGGAGACGAACGTCAGAAGTTTGGCGGAAGTTTTATGTACTAGAATACAACATGATACGTAATGACACAACATAATTTCACAGAACATATATATATATATATATATAGATATGTTTTAAATATACATATATATATATATATGTATAGAGAGGGTCGGTTTTAGACTTCGGAGTCCTTCGGAGTTGGATGCAGGCGTTCAGGGGCTGGGGAACTGCAGGAACGAGTAGCTGGGGCTCCTTGCTTGCCCGTGGCTGGATCGTCCTCTGGGATCTTTTTTAATTTCCCCCACTATTTTGTAGAGAACCATATTAGTAAATGATCTTCAATGAGCTTAAAGGACAACTCGGGTGGCTGCATTTTTGTTGCTCAAATCTTGATGTCACCCACCTTGGGGCGACGATTGTGTTGTGTCGGTGCGTAGTCTCCCGGAATCTTTGGCCATGATCTCTAGGGCCAGTCTGGGGCACTAGGACGTAGATGAAGTAGGGCTCAGAGGCTTTGGCGAGTGTATGTTTTGTGGGTTTTGATGGGGATGCCAGCAGAACGAACCTACTCCACACGGTTTCGATGTGGGATTTGAGAACCTGATGACGGCGAGACTCGCTGAGACGGTGGTTGAATGCAAGATGCTTGTCGCGGATGTCATTACAAATGCTCTGCGGCTCCTAAATTAAACGTCCTAAGCACCAGCGACATCAGCGCCAAACAATGTCGTCCAACGAACCAGTTGTAAGCATTCGCTCAGAATTTCTTGACGTTCAACAGTGAGGAATGCCGTCATTTAGATCAAATCACTATGTTCAGCCACGGTGGCAAGTGTTTTTCTGTTCATCAAAGCTACATGGCATAAAAAGTGTGGAATGAACTGTTTTGATGAGTGCCACCAGAAAGATGATGCTCTTGCAAAGTTCGAGTGCCCAAACCACCACCAATACGGATGACTGCAAAACTAGTACCTCCTTCGGGCACCTTATTATTGCCACGGTGATTATTGTTATGCGTCTTATCTTCTGTAGAAGACCACCCACCGAAACCCTGTTGAAGTCGCTTGGGCCCTTAACCCCTAAACCGTCTACAGAGCCCTTGAGCGAAATGTCAGGATACGACCTATTGCAGATTGGCGATCTTCTTCGGGTGCTGCCGGGGGACGTGGTGCCGGTGGACGGGGAGCCTCGTCTAGCTTAGTTAACGAAGCCAATATGCGATGGAAAGCTTGCAGGCAGTGCAAGCATGCGGATAGTCTGGAAGCATCCATGTACTAGTTGGCCTGTTTCGGATGATACTGCTGTTGTTGTTGTTGGTTGTTGCTTTCTCTGCTCCCAAGTCACGAAGTGCTTACTGCTGTCGCTGAAGCTTCTGTTGCCTTTACACTACTTCTTCTGTTGTTGATGGTGGAGGTGATGACGGTTAAGTTAACATTCAGTTCTGCATAAGCATTCCCATGCTCGTGTAGTCTGCTTTTGGGACGGCATTTTGAAAGAACGAGGCCGGAAATGACGTCGATGAAGTCACTCCTTCATGTTGATCGTGTGACAGGTGTTGGTCATGATACATGAGGATGGTAGCCAAGACAGTGTGGATGAGGTTTGGATGGTTGCAGATCCCGGATCCTGCTTCGCAAGATGCAAAGCCGAGCAACAGTGGTAATTGTTACCCAGAGGCCTCAAAGTAGTTCCTTTTTTGGGGTCCATATATAGAATCCTATATGGTAACCCCCCAAAAGGCACTACTTTGGGGCCTTTGGGTAAGTTATTACAACTTAGAGCTGATGGCGCTGCTCGTCGCTGCTGTTGCTGTTGGTTTGCGTGCGGTTGCTTTCCGGTCCAAAGCGCCGCTTTCGCTAACTTTTCACTGTGTGGTCATCGACTTGGCGAGAGGGAAGCTGTCAGCCGTCAGTTGGTGTACCTGAACCGTGAGGGAACCTTAAGCCCTCCCTGAAGCCTCAACCTGAAACCCTAAACCCTAAACCGGTAACCCTTTGTAAAAATTGCAATAGAAAAATAATTAACTCTCAATACTATTCCTTGGGCTTCCTTGCTGCGATTGCTTTATTTTATTCTCTAGCCCCGCTTTCTCACTACATGTGGCATTGCCACTGTACAAATCCCTTAGGATGGTAAGCTAAAGAACCCTTTTGGGGGTACCCTTCTCTTAGTCCCTGTCTTTTGGCTAAGCCAAGCAGGAAGTCCTGACTGACTGCATCGCGTTCTGCATCTGGGCTTGAAATCTCGGGTTCAGGGGCTTAGGGTTTAAGGGTTTAAGGGTTTAGGGTTAGAGATTATTGGGGTCGTAACTTGGCTTCAAAAATGAGGCTCGGAATAATTCATAGCATTCCTGCGGGTTCCCGCGTATAAGGGTAGAATATTGTCCCCAAAAAATCCACGTCTTATCATTAAGGCCCCTATCGTCTCTGAGGGGCCTGCTGTGTTTGAAGCTTTTTGCCATGCTCTATGGGAGCTACCGACAATAGGGGACCCCGATATAGTACCCTAAAGAGTAGGATCCTTTCTATAAGGACCCCCCAAATACCGTACCCCCTCATTTTCGGAACCCCCCCCCCATATGAAGGTCTTAAGGGTGGATGTTGCAATAAGCGAGATTTATGATCGATGTCATTGTGGGTTTAGGATTTAGGGGTTTAGGGGTTAAGGGTTAAGGCTAAGGGGTTTAGGGATTTTTAAGGTTTAGGGTTTATCATGCTACTTTGACAACCCCCCACGGTTTTTGGTGGCTATGCTCGCTAGTGTATGATCATCCCTGTTCGGTCCTCTTTATGTGTTGTTCTGTTGTTGTTCTTGCTCCAATAAGTACGCACAGGCCAATGCATGAGAATATGAATTTGTTGCATGAAGCATGAGGGAGGTCCGTAAGTGATTCCCGTTATTATGCAAGAAATGCATGACATCCTCTGCCTGCACGACAGTCTAGTGACGCGCGAGAAATCCCGCCGGTGAAATCACCCAGCGTGAGTGAGTTTCTACTTCGCTTTTGTACCGCTCGAGCTAGTGACATTTGCAGCCTTCAGCCTCAAAGTCACTGGTAATGGGATATATACTTGACACTTTGCCTACGGCAATGCCGTTTGACATTGCGAATGGCCTAGATGAGGGTCTGCCTTTTCAGGTAGGTCTTGCTTCGGGGATCCTGATCTTCTTGCATGGGTGCCTTAGTTTAGGTCTGTGGTTTAGGAGAGTTGTCCAACATTTGTATCATTTCATGGTCACACATTTTGTGGTGTCGAGTGAAGTGGATCAGGAGAAACTTGAAGCAGTTGCACGCATAGACCGTAGGGTTGCCAAACTGGAATACCAGCTTTACGATCTTAAAGAATTCCTACTAAAGCTTGAAATTGAAATGAGGGACCTTAAGGCCACTGCAACGGAAGCCATTGAGCTACCCAATAATGTATGTGAGGTCTTGGTTGATATTGAGGACTCGATGAAAACCCTTGCTCCAAAACTCGATAGACTAGTGAGCTCTGTTAAACATCGTGTTGACAATCAGAACTCGGTACTGCAGTGCATGTACTATTCACTTGACGAGCACTTCATGCTGCTATGCGATGTCGCCAACATCCTAGAAGAGGCTATTGACCCCACCTGTCCCTATCCTTTTACCCTCAGACTCGCCAATCGCCCCAGAGGACAGGGACCACGACCTAGGAACAGACAATATTACTAAGATGCATTAGCGCCCACAGGCAGCTCTGCTCGAAGTATACTTGCTGTTCCTGGTCCTAGGTATGAATGTGCACATGGCCACGTCTTGTCAGGAGGTGAGACGAGGGGTCATATGGGCACGGGAACTACATGATGCATTAATTGCCTTCCCGCCCGAACTCACATATGTAGCAGCTTCCCGATTGCTCACTCGACTACGACGTATGCGAGCGATCCTTCCCATTTTGAACTCCACTAGCATCCTCTGGCCATTTTGGTGTGCTATTTGGGATGTTTGTATTGCTATTCTGGTGGCACATGAGGAAGATCGCCCGGATACGGTGTCTATCAACGACAATAACATGTTATACCGGTGGGCTGAGAACACTGCAAGACGGATTTACATGAGTCTTGATGATTACAGTGGTATCTATTCGGGATGGAATTTACCCCTATCTTGGCCTAGTGGTGAAACCCGTCCACTCTGCGAACGCATTTCTTTTGTCCCCAAACCTCTCCCTTCCCTTGAAGAGCACTATAGGCTCCTACACGCAGTACCACCAAGGCTCATGACAAGACAAGCAAGCTTCAGCACTACACTTTAGTGTCATGGCATTATCGCCCTCTGTGTTCCGAGAACGCTTGCTGTCGGAGCTGCGGTCGATGCCACCGGGAGTGTCACGGATAGCTGTGGATTCATTGTTTAGTCTTATTGCCCGTAATCGTCACACTTATCCTTTAGGAGGCTATTCTTTGTTGCATGATGTTATGATGGATGCTTCACCTTTCTGGCTGAATCCACAGAACGATCCCGTGTCTCCCCGAATCAGAGAAAATACCGCTAGAGAAGTCAATGATTGGGTATTGTGGGTTGAGCGTAAGCTGTACTCTAGTGTGGTTGAGCTCTCGCGATCAGAAGCTCCCGAAGTGAACACAAGCTCTGAGGATGAAGATCGTATTTCCTGCACTGTCTATCACTCCAACTCTAGATCGGTTGCTTCCCAAACCTCGTCATCTTTTGAGCTTGGCTCCAGGGAGCGAGAGCTCTCACGCCACCATGGAAGCCCCAACTGATTCGGGGACTAGCTCGGTAGAACAGATGAGGCGCTCTATCTTAGAAAGCTTTGACCGAGTTAGTGTAAAACACAAGGCTTCAGAAGACGGTGGTCAGGTCCTTCACCTAGGTTTGAATCCTAGGGACTTATCTAGGCTTACCTCGGCGACGGCCCCGTGCATGCACCTTCTTAGCCTGATCACCGCCTTCCTTCACAACATAGCCCCAAATCATAAGTATAGCTCAGTGATAATTCGTGACAGTGCCGGCAAGGACATTCATAAGGACCTTAGGAACTCTCATTATCCTCAGGGGATTGTCCGACTTTCTCCTTTTGAAAACGGTGGTCTCTGGGTTGAATCCCCCACTGGCTTTAGTATTAGGTCGTATATGGGGGTCAACATTGCTGGCACAGTCTGCGATATCCCTGGGGACCGACTCCTTATGTTTAGCGGTAAACGTCTCCTCCACTGCACTGAGCCCTGGCTGGGGCGCCGGGTAGTCCTTGTTGCTTATACCCTCATGGGCACCATGTCGATCCCCAGGGAAATAGAAGAGAGATTGCAAGCCATAGGAATTCAGACACCAACCAGCAGCGAAATTGAATATTTCTTTCAGCACCCCGTTGGGCCTGGTCAACCCACTCAGCGTAAACTCTCTTTTCGCAAACGGACCGGTGTCTGGCAAGCTGGACGTCTCAACCTGTTGCCTCATGAACCGTCAATAGAGGTAGATAGCCAAGAGAATGGTGATGTTGTTCAGCTACCTTCTCAACTTGATGATTGTGTCTCTTCGGTTCCTCCCCATGAGACGGTTCATGACAGCGACTCGGCAGAGACCCTCATGCTTCCTAGGCTAGCGGGAGATGGTGTGTAACGCACCCGTACATAGACTAAACCAAAGCATAGATGTTCCCGAACAGACTCATTATTGTGTAGACTCATGGTAGCTCCATGCCTTTTAGTCCAAACCACTAACCCACGCCCGCGCGCCATGGCTTGCGAGTGTCCACTGCGCTTTATGCCTACGTCTGCATGCTGCATGGAGGAGTATGCCTGCAACGATGGCAGAAACATGTTGCGTTCAGCGGTTGGCCATGGTGATGGCATGCTCTAGAACTCACCCTGATTGCACCAGTGGAAAGCATTGCTTTGATGCGGGCAGTATGCTGTGCATGGATCGTGGCATACTGTTACAGGGAGAAACACTGTCGGACGATGACTGGAATGAGCTGCCTGATGCTGGGTATGTGGTCGAGTGCCTGCAATTCCGACAGACAAGAAAATGGCAACACTGAATACAGGTTGGGGCACCTGCATGTGCATGATTTGCTGCATGAGTTGTTGAGTGTGGAGAATTCAGCCGAGCCAGCCTGGGCAGTTTGCCTTGCGAGAGTCTGCTACGCGCAGCACATCCGAACACAGAATGGTGTTGGGCAATGGAGCACCTGATTGAGAATACATACTTTGCACGTCGCCCGCCGCCTGAAATTTTGCTGCAACTGGTCCCTGTGGGGTATACTATGGCTGCATGAATTCGTAATTCGTTTGCATGCTCTGCAAGTGCATGGTGCATGCATAGTCCACGCAAATCCATGCCTCTCAATCGCCGTGTCACCACGTTGTTTCACCCCGCCAGTAACGTGTTGTTTGGGAATGCTAACTAGTGTATTCCGCTGTGATTGGTAAATGCCGATCCCCGGGACTCTTCATTCAGGATGAGTCTCTCTAGTGCAGATGTCTAGGCCCTTGCAGTTATAGTGTCTTGGGCGTGTAAGGGCCTAGGCTGAGGAAGGGTCACTTAGCACAGTTACTTCATCTGTTCCCAAGTTGTGATAGTTTCTGATGCTCCCTCTTAGAGATGTCTCACTTTGTACGACTCCGAACCACATGCCTCGCCTGGATTGTCCGAGTGTGAGCGCCGAAAGAGTAGGATCCTTTCTATAAGGACCCCCCAAATACCGTACCCCCTCATTTTCGGAACCCCCCCCCCCCCATATGAAGGTCTTAAGGGTGGATGTTGCAATAAGCGAGATTTATGATCGATGTCATTGTGGGTTTAGGATTTAGGGGTTTAGGGGTTAAGGGTTAAGGCTAAGGGGTTTAGGGATTTTTAAGGTTTAGGGTTTATCATGCTACTTTGACAACCCCCACGGTTTTTGGTGGCTATGCTACCGGTGTCAGCCTGACTGCAGGGGTCGGGATGACGACTACTGATATTATGTGCCCATAGACTCCCCATAGAGGTGTGCGGCAATACACCCCAAGGCTTCAGGTTTAAGGCCCCTATAGTACCCTAACCCCACCATTTTTGAGGCTCCAGTAGTACCCTACTTGGAAGGGCAGGGGACTTAGTAAGTAGGTTGTAAGTAGAGTTATAAGTACCCTAAATGGAGATACCCCAATTATAACCCTACTTATAAGCTACTTACTAAGTCCCCTGCCCTTCCAAGTAAACCCCATACCCGATAGCCCCATTCAGGTCCTGCAGCACCAGAAAGGCTACGCATCCCAAAACTCGTTTAACAAGGCCTCCATCATGAGGCCCCTACTCCAAGCCCCCAAAAATAGGGAGACCCCCATGCCCCCCAATTCTATTCCTAAGGCCCTTAGCCCAACACACTTTGATCAGGCCCTTGGGGTTATGTAGTTTAACCTTAAACCCGAAACCCCTAAACCCTAAACCCCCGAAAGCAGGCGATGAGTCTCTGCTCACCGGCGAGTCCGTGCCAGTGAAGAAGGTGAAGGGTAGCCAGGTCGTAGGCCTGCTCCCTAAACCCTACACCGTGCCGGCTTTCTGGAATCCCGGTGTTTAGGGTTTGGGGTTTTGCAGGTTTGAGGCTTTGGGTTTAGGGCTGTAGGTTTTCAGGGTTTCGGATAAAGGCTTCGGGTTTAGAGGTTAGGGCTTCGGGTTTAGAGATTATGTTTAGAGGTTAAGGAATCAGGAAGTAGGTCTCTAGGGGTTAGATGGGGTTCGGGTTTGGGGTTGGGCCTTGGGGCAGTAGCATCAGTGGACGCAACATCAGTTCTAAGTAGGCGATAGACGGAAGATGCAAGTAAATTGCCTATGCTACCCCCGCCAGTTTCTTAGTAACTGAGTAGGTAACCTTAACCTTTCGGGGGTTGTATAATCCTACCATAATTGAAGAGGTTACCCTTCTTGGGCAAGGGTATTCAGCCCCTGAGCCCAACCGATGTGGGGAAAAAGGAAGTCCTCGTCGAGGAACCATGCTTCGGTTTTTTCGAGTATTGAGGAAAGCAATTTGAATCAAAGACTCGTGATGATGGCACGGCAGAGAGAGAGAGAGAGAGAGAGAGAGAGAGAGGAGAGAGAATTTGAGCATGGACAAGGCGCCAGCATCCTGGTCGGAAGCTGGCGAAGTGCCAGCCTGCACGTGGGAGCAAGTGGAGAACATCCGCCTGGCCTCCGTTCGAAAAGGAGAAGAGCAAATGCTGGAGAAGCGCCGCCTGGAGGAAATCCAAGAAAGCGGAGGAGTTGCCTCCAAGAGAGCCCAATACCCCTTAATTATGGAATATATACCTTAAATCATAATTTCATGGCCCCTATAATTTAAGGTATATTCCTTAATTAAGGGGTATTGGGTTCTCTGGGCATGTGCCGATGGATGCAGGAGCTTTGGCCCGCATCGGCGCGGACCAGGACTCCCCGAGTCTCGAGGTAAAGTTGACAGCACCCAGAGACTCCAAGATCCCTTAATTAAGGAATATTCCTTAAGTCATAGTAGGATCCCGAATATGATTTAAGGAATATCCCTTAATTAAGGAATATTCCTTAAGTTATAGTAGGACCCCTAGTATGATTTAAGGAATATTCCTAAATTAAGGGATATTCGAGTGGGGGCAATGACAGAATTGTCGGTCCCCAGTTCTGACGACGAGCGGAAGGACAGAGAGTTTGAATCAAGCTGCGCAAGACTGCAGACTATCTGTCTGGGCACCCTTGACACGCATAATGAGTAGAGGGAAGGCATTACACGCTTGGAACTCCAAAGGGGAGGCAGAAATGGAAAGCTTCCTGAAGCCAGGCGAGGTTAGGCATGTGGGGTAAACAGTGGTCCGACTTAGGACTTGTTCATGGTTAGGCTTTTGAGGACTAGAGCTGGGGGTTTCGGTTTAAGGGCTTGAGGCTTCAGGGCGAAGTCTGAGGAGTCTAGCGGATGTCCCCTTGCAGGGTCGTTTAGTTACATATGGGTGTTTGTCAAAATTGTGTTCCCTTTTTGGGTCCCTAATGTAATACGGCACCTATTATTTAAGGTACCCCAAAAGTTACCCTAATTTTGAATTTTGACACCTACCCACATATCTAGCTCTTGGTTCCTGGAACTTTATGCATATAGAAGGAGGTCGATTCGTTGCGAACAGTCAGGAACTTCGCGTAAAGACGCCATAGCAGACTGCTTGGACCCGTCAAGTCTGCCACAGGTGGCTCCGCTGTAGTGCAGACCGGTTTCGTCATGAAGGTGGCTTATGCGGTTTAGGGTATCAGATTTCGGGTTCAGGGGTTTTGGCATTTCGAATGCCTGGGAGGGAGGGAGAGAGGGAGGGGTTTTGGCGGTTTTAGGGTTCAGCGCTTTTTGGGGAGCACAGAAGTGTTCTATCTACCTGTCGTAGGGTTTGCACGTCCTATACCGTCGTCAGCCGGGCAGGCGATCAACCGTTGAACCCTGGCGTCCGGATGCACGTCAGGGCAAGTGGTATATAGGGGGCTAAATAAATACCAATACTATTTCGGGTGGCTCCTTATAAGCATACTAGTATAATGGACCCCCAAACCCTATTCTAATTATTCAGGCCCCTAAAGTGAGCTTCAGGTGTCGCCGATTCGGAGAACTTCTGCAAAGGTTGAGCAATCCCCAAAGCCCGAGCCCCAAATCCTAACCCTAAACCCAAAGGACTTGTTCAAGGCCCTATCACAGTGGACATAGCTCCTCGCAGTGCCAGACGGGAAACAAAAAAAAGCAAACAACCTGCCCAAAAACACACAACTTCTCCGGGGGAACATGTCAAGACAAACCATAACTTCAAAATAGCCTACTCAGGGTTCCTTTTAACGGCTTCTTTATCGTCCCTTACCAAAGGTAAGATATGTTGAGGGTCCAGGAAGTTTACAATTGTTAGTGGCGTTCAGGCACCCCCCAGGCAAGTTCTGTGCGCAATATACCTATTAAACTACCAAACCCTACTTTTTTGTAGGTTCTTGTTATAAACCCTGATATGGAATCTATAGGGACCCTACAAAAAAAGTAGGTTTTGGTAGGTTCAGGTAGGAACCTGAATATCATTGTAATTCGACTCAAGGCTTCCCCAAAGCCAAAGCCCTATCTCAAGTGCTAAGGCCTGGGTTTTTACAAAAGGGTGTAGGGTTTAGGGTTTAGGGTTTAGGGTTTAGGGTGTAGGGTGTAGGGTGTAGGGTGTAGGGTTTAGGTTAAGGTGAGCACTGTCGATGCGCGATGCTTGATGCTTCTTGTCTCCACACTTCGTCAAGCGAATGTGGGGATTACCGGGCGGTGGTAAAGGCCCGATGCAAAAAAAGGTTAAGGCCTTTCAGTACATATTATCTAGCCTTCACCATGGCAGTTCGGGTTGAGAGCTGAGGGTGTAGTACTTCTATTCCATAGTGACGGTGCGACCTCGCAACTTCTTTTTTTTTGAATTGGGGAGGGCAGAGCTAGCCAGCAGTCAAAAACCCGAAGAAAAGGGCGGGCTTGGGGATTTGGAGCAATGTTTGTCTAAAGCTTCGGTGGCGCCTATTGCAACCTATACTATACTATTCCTTGCGGCATCAGTCCTCCCTTTAACAGCATAGTTGCACTTCATACACCACTCTCCCGCCCCAACCCCCCAAAGCCCAACTTTAATCATATAGGGAAGTTACAGACAGCTTGATCCTGTCCTGACTTTGCCAACTCAGGACAGAAAACCCCAACGACGATAGGCCCCAATGTCTACAACCCTAACACCGAAACCCGAAAATCCTAAACCGCTAAATTCCGAAACCATTTTCCCTGAACCCTACTCGGTTCTTCTTTATAGGTGCCTTGATAATTAGAATAGGCTTTCGGATTATGGTGTACTTGTCATGTCCCAGTCCAGAATCTAGAATTAGGGGTGGATTATTTGGGGTCCTTATAGTATTATACTAAGGATCCGATTATTTAGGGTACTCTATTAGGGTCCCCTATTTTTAGAGTCAGCTCGATGGAGGCTAGCAGTGCTGGCAACTCCACCACCTTAGCTCGGATCTTGCAGCTTGTGGAGGAGAGGAAAGATTTTTCGGCCCCTACCGAATGTGAGTTTCCGAAAATTAGGGGTACCTTATTTTGGGGTCCTCAAAATAAGGCTCCTACTATTTAGGATACTATACTGGGGTCCACTAATTTTCGGAAACTCCCATATGGACCTGGGCATCGGGGTTTTTGGGGCTTCATCTGAAGAGCGCATTGCAGCTTTCTCCAGGGCAGAGCTAGAAAGCGACGAATCCGTGTTCTGAGCATTGAGGGCCAGGATCATGGGTCTTAGGGTGTCGGGGGAAGAGTGTAGAGTTTAGAAACAAGGACTGCCCTAAACCCTAAACCCTACACCGACTGAAGCATGAAGAGCGTTGCTGAGACTGGAATCTCATCGACACGCTGAAACCTTCAAGCATGAAGTTTCAGTCCGCAAGGTTCCCACACACGAGGGGCAACAGGGGCGAAAGGAGCCTAATAAACGTGAGTGACACTACAGCCGCTAAACCGAAACCTCGCCGGCAGCATCAGGGATCAGACGTAGTCGGTATGTTACAAATACCTTAGTGCGGCCATAGATTTCATAGATTCCTATGAGTGCTGTTGACCTGCTTGTAACCCTGCTTACTGAGTCCCCTGACTCTTTAAGTAGCCCGACAAATCCTCAAACTTTGAACACTGTCGTACGCAAAGGGAAGTTTCTACAGTACTCACTCCTACAACTCTAGACCCGAGGTTAAAGACAGTCCTTGACGCCGTCCAAGAAGCTGGGGCCACGTTTGTGAAAGTAACAAGGAACCCTACATTATGGAATTTCTGCCCTTGCGTGACGTGTTCGAGTCATGTTCGAGGCTGTCAGACAAATTGTAGACCGCCAAAGCCTAAATGAATGCTCCAACTTAAGTTCTTGGCTTTGGTGCAGGACGCGCAGACACGCCGACCAACAGTTCAACGAACAGTTGACCTGTTGGCATCCTACTTCACGCCAGCCGGGGTCCTACTCTTGCTGCACTGCAAAGCCCGAGCTTTACATAAATGCCCATGACGCATTTGCACCCTTGCAATTGTAAATGCAAAGCCCATTAACCTCATACTCCTATCGGCTTCCAGTACGGGTAGACAGAGCTTGGAGTCTAGACTCAGCCAGCGAGAAAGCACAGCAGTAATACAGGAGCCTGAACAAGTGTTATTACTATTTCCTAATGTTCCGTTTTTTCTCACCCCTCAGAAACTCTTACGATGAAAAAGCGGTGCCGCAACATTTTTTCTTATCTGGTCCCCACATATGAAGGAACCCTTGACGGGTAGTATCCTGGCTATGCAGACCCCTGCATGCAGTGATTTTTTAGTTCTCATTTCTCAGCTGGTGAGGATGAGGAACCATGAGCCCGAAAAAGGGCCCTTGGGGGGCCCTGGTAAACCCTCTACATTAGGAGCCCAAAAGTTGGAAACCCAATAGCCTCGATCCTCAAGAGTAATGTTTTGGGGAACTTATATAGGGAATTCCAGCACTATTTGGCCTTAGTCCGGTTTCGAACTTTGTTGGGTTTACTGTATCTCAGCTGGTCCTCACCATCTCCCTGGCGACCTTCGTCGTTTGGCTGCTGCTAACCACCTCTGGGGCAGTCACCCGGGCCGCAGAGCTGGGATGCACGGCTATAGGCTTTAGGGTTTAGGGCTTAGGGTATGGGCATGTTCTGGTGATGTCTAGAGGCTCTGGTTTCCTATCTTAAGAGGTTCCTTAATAATGTTGGTTTGTTAGCGGGCTTTGCAGGTTAAGGTTGTCTTTCTACCGTTTCTCTAAACTGCTAGCACCGATTGCACTGAAACCCAAGCGTTAGAACGTCTTCCCAAATTCACTTCCTGTGTTGGGAGGCGCCTTCGTAAATGCGGCTGCGACAGTGACATCAACAGCGAGCTTGGAAAACTGCGGAAACTACGAGTGGTTGAACAAATCGCACAGCAAACCACAGCATCAACATTGCCCAGAATTTGCCGAAGAGACTGGCTCTGCCAAGAGCAGAACACGACAAGTACAATGGTAAGGGGCTAAGTCTTCAACTCTACATATGCGACTGAAGGGAAGACTCACCTGAAGCGACCCGGACATAGGACAGCTGTCTTCTCTTATAGTCCGCAGAAGAAGCAGCCATTCCGTGGGTTGCAGCCGTAAGCTCACCCTGCCATTAAAAGCTGCGTTGTACCGTGTTGCGCGACCAGCCTGGAATCAGACGAAACACTTGAACGGTTTCTTTATCAGAAAGCCAGAAAGCCTCTGGGTATGGAGTTTGAGTAGACATACCGACATACCCGGAGCCCTAACGACTGAGCCTCTCGCCGCTGGCTGGGTCGAAGACAGGTGGACGTCGGCACGTCCGGCATCACCTTCGCGATCACCAGGCTTACAGTTTCTTCCTGCACGTAGGATCGAAGCTCGCTCTCTCGCAAGTTGTTGTTACAGTCTGCTTGTTTTAAGGTGTGGCTTTGAAGGATATGCACTCCTTAAGTACTCTAGGATGTGACCATGAATATCATTGAGTCTTGTCTGTGATTTCTGAAGCCGCCGCCGGAAGCCTCTCGGCTCCTACTTCTGCTCCTGGCTACGGGGAGAGAGATGGGAGTTTCCGAAAATTAGGGGTACCGTATTTTGGGGTCCTTATAATAAGGATCCTACTATTTAGGGAACCATATCAGGGTCCCCTATTTTCGGAATCTCCCAGATCTCATGCTGCGCGTGTCCTCCTCGCTGGGGGAGGAGGTAACAGAGGTACCTCTAGCCGACGTCACCGACGTCAAGAGCTTGAAGAGATGTTTGACCAAAGCCGGGAAGCCACCACGATTCCAACAGCGGCTCATACACCAGGGTGAGATCTTGGAGGATGGAGACACGATCTCTAGACTTGAGCCTCAACTGCTTTCAGCACTCCTTTTCGGGCCTTGACAGCCATTGTAATCCCTGCTAGACTTTCTATCCCTGATACCCGTAAGCCTTATTCTGAACACAAAACGTTCAGCCCTAAACTTTGGGGTACTTAGAAATAGTTTCTAATCTTTGGTTATTATAATCCGTAAGAAGCAGCTAAAATCACAATTTTTGCTAGGGTTCTAAGTTCGGTATCGTAAACCACAGAGATGCATCTCTGGGGCTTGGGAGTCGGAGTGCCATGGGCCCCTGTCTACAAGAGCTCCTACCCTCGCCCAGTGCACAGGCGGTGAAACCGAGCTTGCCAACACAAGCGATTTTTGGGGAAGTGCAAGTAAAACAACGCAAGCGACAGATAGAGAGAGCGAGAGAGAGAAGCAACAACAAATGAAGGGGGGCGAGGAAAGAAGAGCAGGAGAGAAAGAGAGCACTTAAGGTCTTCTCAGAAGTGTACCCCACGTTTTCCCGTCAAGTCCTGCTAATCCTGGAATCCTTGCATAAAGGTGGGAGTTTCCGAAAATAGGGGACCCTGATATAGTACCCTACATAGTAGGATCGTTATTATGAGGACCCCCAAACAAGGTACCCCTAATTTTCGGAAACTCCCAGGTAGAGAGCCCAAAGGCCCGGAGGCCCACCGTCTAACAGATGCAGATCCTTCTCTCAGCTCACCCTAAACCCAAAAATCCTCAAACCCTACCTTAACCCCGAAGAACCTACCTTTTTTAGGGTGCCCTAGTATGATTTCTTTATATAAGTCCTTAAAAAGGTAGGTTATTTGTGGTTAAGGTAAACCCCAAACCAGAAAGGATCCAGAAAGGCACCGAAGCTTGAGCCGTGAAGGCCCCAGAACAAGACAAGCTCAAGCGCCAAAGCCCTTGCCCCACAGACCCTGAAGCCTAAACCCTTGAGCAAAAAATTGCACCACAGACCCTAAGCTTGATTCCTAAACCCGGTAGGCAAAAAAAACGCCCCAAAGCCCCTAAACTCGCTCGAAGCCCTGACCATTTCAAGTTTCTGCGGTCTTTTATGCAAAACCCCAAGGGCCTTCTGATAATCCAGGGGCTTCAGTGTTCTTTTAACTACGGGCCCTTTTGGGAGGGACCTCCATCACAATCTTACGAAGTTCTGGCGTGATATCTGTTTTGTGTATTTGTTGAAGGGGTGGGGGTAACTTGGCATAACTTGGCCGTGAAGAGTATATGAATCTTTGAGCAAAGGAACCTCCGGCAGTTGAGTTGGTTCTGCTGCCCCTCAACGAGGACGGGATTCTCCGATGGCTTTTGGTGTGGTAACCCGAGGGCCGACCCACGTATTTATTCAAATACTAGAGATCATGAAATCATGGACGTTGAAGATGTTACTACTCCTGTTTATGGACAAACACGGTTATTAGTATGACCCAAAAGGTAATTTCCAGTGCAATCGGCTTTTTGAGGAGGTTTCCATCGAAGATCGCGCGGCCAGCGCCGTGGCTCGCGGGATCAATGCCCTGGAGATTGAAACTGGGCTTAGGGTTTGTAAGCCTTAAAACACTAAACCCCAAGTCCTACAAGCCCTAAACCCTACAAAACCCTACACTCTGTCAGCTGGGAAGCTAACTGAAGAAACCCCAGAACCTCAACCCCCTCAAACTTTGAACCTGAGGTTGAAGTCCCGGAAAGGTTAATCTTTATCCAAGGGTAAAAGGAGGGACTTAATACGGACCCCTAGGTATATACCCTTAATATAGCTCTTATATACCCATTATATAGCCCATTATAGGGTAGGGGTCCCCGTTCAGGGTCCCTCCTTTTCCCCTTTGACTTTAGTTCCCCCGGATGCTGCACAAGAAGGCATCTTGAGTTTGTAATCCGTCCGCCTTTTGCGAGGTTTCTGGGTTTGAGCTGGAGTACGGGGTTATCAAGCTGGCAGGGTTCTGGGGGAATCCGAGGCGACCGATTTTAAACGCAACTTACACGGTGAGTTTCGGGGATGACCCCTTCCAAAGGCAGTGAAGAAAAGACAAATCAAATCTCACAGAGACTGGGCCGACCTGCTTGAAAACCAGGACCGACTTCTCAATACGCCACAAGATCCTGACTGGCGGGATGAAGCGGGTGATACTGCACTCATTCGGGCATGCGGTGAAGGGCATGTGGATACCGTCCGCTTGCTCCTGGAAGCGCGTGCGAACGTCAATGCCCAGAACAAGGAAGGCACTTCGCCTCTCATGGGTGCCGCAGCGATGGGGAGCCGCATGTTGCTAGACATCAGTTTCATCAGGAGTTTCCGCTTATTTGGTTCAACAGACTTAGCCCTTCAGACACAGAAGAAGTCTTGTCTTGACGGTTTTTGCCCAGCTAGGTTCCTGAGTAGTGCCCTTTTGCCCTTTTTAGTTTAGGGTCCCCTTATTAAAACCAAATAGTAGGAAAAAGGGTAGCCTTATTATAAAGGGGTTATATACTCAGAAACCTAGCCAGCAATCAAGGCTCGTGACCTGGCTGCTGGCTGCTGGGGCAGATGTGAATCTGAGGAATGCGGAGGGCAAGTGCGCCTCTGACCTGGCAAGCGAACGGAGAGGAGAGGAGCACCAGAAGATCGTTAAGCAACTCTACCGAGAGGAAGAGACTAGGTTGGCTTTTGGGACTTCTTTGTTTTCATTATTTGGGTTTATAAGGGACCCTATATATAAATATTTTTGAGGGTGTTTAAAGGCCAACCCAGGAGAAGACGGATAGAGAAGCCCGCCGACCCGCTCGATAGCAGGGAGGCCTCCAGTGAGCCGAGCCACTTGCGATCACTTTGAGAGAGTTGCTTGAGGCCTACAGCAGTCGTAGCTTTCTCTGTATCTGCATCTCTATCTATACCTATAATGTCTCCTTCTATACATCTCTATCCCTATCTATACATATATCCATATCTCCAAAGAGCACATATGTTGACAGATAGAACATAGATAGACAGATAGATAGATCGATCGATAGCTGCTCTATGCATTTGTTTAGGTTTTTGATCTTTGCACATTTCATTTACTTATACAACATTAGGAGTACACTTGAGATGCTGTTTTCGGCCTGCGTTGCAGCACTCAGAGTTTCGGATGCGTACTACAAGGCTTCCGGCGACAGTTGAATGCATATGCCTGGAAAAAAGCCATCGTCAGGGCTTTGGCTTTGGGGTTTAGTTGAGGGATGCTTGGAGGCTCATGGGTAATTAGTTATAAGTGGGGTTATAAGTAAGGTAACTATAACTATAACTCCCATTAGGCGACGTATAACCGTATACCCCCCCTTATAACTACCCATGACCCTCCAAGTGAGGGTGTCCTGGCCAACGTATCAGTACCGATGACAGGGTTTTCCGTCCTGCATCCCCTAGATCACACGAGCGTTTCTTCTGGCTTGCACCAGCATTTTAGGTTTCAGGTTTGGGCGTCGGGATTCATACTTAGTCTCTGCCCTTGCCGGTGAACATTCTGAACTGGGTGTTTTTTTTGTGCCGGTGAGCTTGTTAAAGCCACGATTCCGCTGCTCCATATTATAAGCCTGTTTGCCAGGTAGGAGAGCGCAGATCCTGAGCATGATGACAATCGTCTTGCCCTTTGTGATTGCGATGATGATGACGATGATGATGATGATGACGAGGTATATGATGATAATGATGTTGCTGATGACGAAGTTAAAGAATAATAGCCTGGTGATGAAGTTAAAGAAGAATAACCTGGTGATGATGCGGCGGAAGAAACAAGATAATGGGCGGCCATGTCAGTTATTACAGTGAAGGCAATCCTGGACGTCGTGTTGGTGATGATGGCGCTGTTTTGACCCCAGTGGGGCGGTGGCGATGGAATTGAACCTGCTGACATGATAGTGTGACGAGAAGGAGGTGCCAACAATCACGATCAAGTGGCCCATGATTGTATGCTGGTGATGCTTGTAATGCCCTGATCGTTGTGAAGATGAGGCGGAGGTATGCTGCTGCTGATAGTAAACAGAAGATCGAGATGCCGATGCTCGAAACCGCTGAACTCTAGTCTCTACGCCCAAAAACTCTCAACCTGAGCTCTAAACCCCCTGAACTTTTTCATTGCAAACTGCTGAACTCTAGCCTAACCCTAAACCAGCAGGGCCGTCAGCGTTCTGGTCATCGCTTGCCCTTGCTCTTTCGGCCTCGCAACGCGGGCACCCGAGAATCCGAGTAATTTCAGACCGACAGGCGTAGTCTATACAGGGTTTAGGGTGTAGGGTACCTATACTAGGACCTAGAGTAGGCTGTTATTCCCTTTTTAAGGGTTCAAATTCTCTTATAAGCTCCTTTAAACCAAAATGGGCACCCTTTCTATTCCCAGGTTACTCTTGGGTCTAGTATAGTCTCCATTGTAGTTCCTTTGTGGGATTACCTTATAGGATTCGATATATCAACCCCAAAAAGGAACTACTGTACTAGACTATACCTATAGTATCCATTGTAGTTTCCCTTTTTCGTTCACCCATATATATATATATATATATATATATAATTAGGATCCTATAAGGTAACCCCCAAAAGGAACTACAATGGAGACGATAGGTACTATACGACAAAACACTGTATCATAATGTAATATGAGTCCAGGACAGCTTTGTATCAGGTTTGGATAGCTTTTTGGCAACAAGGTGTTGTAAGGTTTTGTGCGGTTCTCGTTTGTTTTCACGCGGGTTTCGGTTGGAGGCACTAGCCGCAAGCGGCTTCTAGCAATGTTGGGTCACGCTTGTGTTTCTGTGAGCCCGTGGTCTTTTATTCGCCACGCAGTGTCTGTGAACCTGACTACCGAGTGAAATTTAGTGCCCAGACGAGTGGAGCTTGGGCTGCATTGCGCGATGTCTCCCGTAGCACACGCAAGGTTATGCGTAAGGCCTGGCAACAGTCTGCAAAGCCTTAGCCTATTATCTGGGACTAGGTTTAATCTAGGGGCTTAAATCACCAACCATTTTGGCGTTCCTCAGTTATACTCATTTATTTTTGTATAATTGTATATAGCATACCCCCAGACTATGTTCTGACAATCTTACCCTAAACCCTAAAGCCTCACAGCGTTTATAAGAAAAGCAAGGCCTACGGCGGTGATGGTGGCCACGGGGGTGGCCGCGCAGCACGGCTGCCTCGTCAAGGAAGGGCCAAATGCCGTTCCTTGCAGTTTGTACGGCCGATGGGGGTCGACACGTTTCTGGGTTTACTTGGACCCTAAGACACCTACAGTACCGTCTTAGGGTTCCTTAATATGATTTCCTTATACAAGTCCTTAAGACGGCAGGTTATTTGGGGTTGATGCGGGGCTTGGAGGTTTAAGATAGCCGTTGTCCATATCCTCCCTGGTCTGTTGTGAAGCGGCTTGATTGCCTCATGCCTTTCTGCTTCTTTCAGCAGTTCCTCCTTTTTGCTCTTTGCTCTCTGTCTTTGCTATTTCGTTCCGTGTTGTGCTTTTCCGTCTGCCTGGTATCGTTTTGTTTGGTTAAGTACATCCACTCCTATTCTGCGGCAAGCTCCTTAAAACTTGCAAGCTGAAGCTGTTCTGTTAAACAGCAGAGGTACCGTGTGTTCTCCCATTACCTCACGGTTTAGGGATGTTTGCGGCTTATCGGGGCTTAGCAATCGCACGTCCCGGTATCCTACTACATAGTGAGGGCTTTTTTCCGGTTTAAGCACATCTCCCAACTGCATGCCACCGGTCGTTGTCCTGGTGAAGCCTCTGCCCGCGAGTAGTGTTCTGATCGTGCCGATGTTGAGGGATTAAGTTGCTTCTTGATCTTTCGCAGGGCGGTCACACGAGCCGATTGTTTCGATACTGGTTTCTTAGTTTCTGGATCCTTGGCAACAGGTCGGAGGGTCAGTCCTGGCAGCCAGCAAGCCCGGGTTCAAAAAAATCGGGGCTTAGCAAACTGTAGCGAATCAGGACATTGCCAATTCTGACCCCCGCACCGGATGAGATGTTCCTTTACGAATGTTTGGTTTAAACCCTGAAACCTAAACTCTGAACCCGAATGCTAAACCCTACCCTAGTAGCTGAGTGGATACACTTTACACTTTTTGGGATAGTCTTACCCACTATAAAACTAAAAGTGTACACATTTTGGGGGGGGCATTATGAACTCAGCAACGAAGCTACGAGTACCCTACGGATGTTTGATTTCGGGATGAGGATGTGTTTTTTAAGAATGTTTCAGGCAAGCCTCCCGGCAATCGCCTGGACCTGGAAGTTTGATGCCCTCGAGCAATCTCTCGCCTCGGTAGAGTAGGTAACCTTTAACCTTTTCGGGGTAGTGTAATCCGTTGTACATATGTATATATATATATATACATATGTATTTCCAAAGGCTAACCTTCAGTTTGCCTAGTATACTGGACAACTAGACTTGAATCCTCACTCGAGCCTGACCCCACTAACTCTTGCCGGTGTGTGTATTTGATTAAGAGTTGAAAACATGTGAGTTGAACAAACCCAAAACCCCTAAACCCTGATCCCTAAACCCTAAACCCTAAACCCTAAACCCTAAAACCCTAAACCCTAAACCCTAAAACCCTAAACCCTAAACCCTAAACCAAGCGGAGGCCCGCACCTTTACCCCCCTACGGCATTGGACTCTGAAGCCTCGACACGGAACGTTCGAAGTGCGGGCTGAGCTCCTGCTCGAGTACTCTTAAGCCGAACTTGTTTAGGTGATCCAAGATCCATGAAAGTCGCAAGCTGCCTGCCGCAGGATGCTGTGGTTTGGGAGAAGGCCGGGATCACGTGAGGATGTCAGGTTTCACATCGGTGATGCATATACGCCATGCAGAATAACGTGAAGGGACATCTCCTCGAGTCATCAGTGTCGACCCAGGTTTCATGTGTCTGCGAGTTTGGCTATGGTGGTTGCTGTCGGACTTTGGCTGGGGTTTGGGAAAGGGCTGTTTTGGTAGATTTCTGTGGCACGCTGGGTAGGGTTATATAAAATCGGCTTACTATACTCGGAGCTCAACGTGCGTAGTGTGAGAAATCCCGACACATGGCTCCTGGCCTATGGTGATGTGAACACAGACAGTCCCGATGTGCGGTTCAGGATGTCACATTCCCCGAGCTATCAAAGCTCCATTAAACCCAGCCAGCAAAAAAATCAACTCGAATGCGACAGCTTGATCGACTAGAGGACATACTGTGCGGGCCTGAATGCCTAGTAATAATGATAGAGCCTAAACCCTAAACCCCTAAACCGACAGTTGTGCTGGAGCTTTCGCCTAAATCACCGAGAAGCTCATCTGTGAGATCTTCGGGGCTGCACGAAACTTCGGATACCCAAAACCCTGACCATGTACCTATAGTCTCCATTGTAGTTCCTTTTGGGCGTTACCTTATAGGATTCTAACTATATATTTTGTTTACAAAAAGGAACTACAATGGAGACTATAGGTAGGACCTAAAACCATAGAACCCTGAACCCCTAATAGAAGCGTGACAGAGCCCTAAACCTCATGGAGCTTAAACCCCAAACCCTAAACTCTACAAACTGGCAAGTCCGAGTTGCGAGAGCGTAAATAACCCCAAACCCTGAACCATAAACCCTAGAGTGAAAACTCTCTCAGAACTAAACTCAAAAGCCTACAAACTTTGACAACTGCGAGGTCGGCAGGCTGACCCAAGCAGTCCTCGACAAGACCGGCACCCTGACCAAGGGGGAACCAGAGGCCACAGGAACCTCTCTCGCTCTCTCTCTCTCTCTCTCTCTCTCTCTCTCTCTATCTCTCGCTCTCTCTCTCGCTCTCTCTCTCTCTCTATCTCTCGCTCTCTCTCTCGCTCTCTCTCTCTGCCTCTCACTGTCTCTCTCCTTCTCTCTTTCTATATGTTTCAGAGTCTAGGAGCCACAAGAAACTCTACAAGTGTTCAAGAGTTTGCCAATTTCAGGTTTGGGGGCTTTTTTTGAGCTTTGGGTGGAGGCACCCCTACAAAAGGGTTTAGGGGTTGGGGCTTGAGGGTTTAGCGAGAAGGTTCTGCGGTTGAGGAGTGTTGGCTGACACGCAATCCAAGCCCATGCCGACGCCGAAACGGCGGAGAAACCTCAAGGCGCAGGGCTTAGGCAACCCTACCCTACGGCCCAAATACAAACTCGTTGAGGGAACCCCTGTTTCATGAAGGAAACAGAAAAGGATTCATATGACCAGGAACCCTAAGCCGTGGCGCTCGGAGCGTTGAATCGTTGAGTAGTTGTAGAATTTTTTGGGTCTTGGAGATTGGGAGGCGTTGGGTTCAACGTCACTCAAGGCTGAGATCCGCTCAAATCCACAACTGGGTTGCACACAAACCATGCGCCGAACCTCGGTCCCTTGGCGATCCCGATGGACAGGTCGTTGCTGTGGCTTTGCTGCCAGGCTCGGCCCATCTTTGAGAGCTGAAGGTATGGAGGTAACGGTGTTTTCACGGTTTTCAGGTGAGGCACTGATGACGGCCACAGCTTGGAGCTGCTAGCTGTTTAATTCACGCAATGCGACATGCGCCAAGCGAGTTTCAGTGATGTTGCAGTTAACCGAAAGATACCACGTTGCATCAGTTTCTTTTGAATCGCAGTATGGCGTCCACTGGGATGCACTCTGATAATTGTCGCAGTTTGCCCATGGCTTTTCGTCAAGCTTTCAGGTGGTGCAAATCGCCCTTCCCAAACTACAACATGCCTGCCAACAACCGGTTGCTTTGCAGCAGTGTCCTTCCCTGAAGGTCTTCGACTCTGGTCAGGTCCCATCAGAATGGTAAGAACGGTACCAGGAATCCCCTACCGCGAACGCCTGCTCGAAGCATATCAGGATCGGCCTCTGCTTCCTGGCCCAGCGATGCCACCCAGGCGACACCCACCCGCAGTGTGAGGTTTCAACTGCTGATATTTCTGCTGCGATCAGAGACAAGAGACCACTTGCCGGAGGCAAAACTGTATCCTCCATCCCCGTCTGTTTATGGGCTTCAATCCGCATGATTCTCATCCTTTCATGTCTGATCTGAGTTCAAGCCTTCGTATGTATGTAAAATATGTGTTCGCACGTGCAAACAATCGTACATGCATACCTGCGTACAGCATGCAATGCACGTCTGTGTGCATGTACACAGGCATAGATATGACTTCTGCTTTGTGCCTTTCCAACCTGTCGCAGGCAGCCGCATCTGCAACACGTGCGGTGAAGCAGACAGACTGCCTTGGGATTCAGGCGAGGTGGAGGGTTTCGCGTTTACCAGGACCCCCCCAAGTGCCCTATGATAGAGCCCTTATGGTCCTTAATAGTGGCTGTTTAGGGTATAACAGAGGGTTGGTGGAGGGTTTAGGGTCAATTTATGAGGGTCGTTGTTGTTGGAGCGTCGCAAGTCTTGGAGATGTTCTGCCGGTGTCCTGGTGTTGAGGATTCGATAATTCAGGGCTACTAGAATCAGGGCTTATGTCATCGCCGAGTTACACATACAGATGAAATTACCTCGAGGTCCGGACTTCTGACTCTGCACATGACCTAGTTCCAAATGGGTGGTTGTCAAAATCTCGGTCCATTTTTGGGGTTCCTATTATAGGACGGCACCGAATATTGAAGGTACCCAAAAAGGGCCCTAATGTTGACAACCACCCAAATCTCCCGATACACCAAATCAAGCTTTAGGGATGGAAGGCTTAAACCGTCTAAGGCCCTCGGTTTAAGACTGGTGACTTTGGGGGAAGGGCTCGGGGTTGGTGGCGAAATTTGACCGCCATCCTCCGTCATTCCTGCATATTTCCAGCATTTGCGACAGATCAGGGCAGTATGTCTAGCGGCAATCTTGAAACTAGTCTAGGACCCGGAGTAGGCCCTTATTCCCTTTTTTAGGGTTTAGGTTTAGGTTCCCTTATAACACCCTTTAAACCAAAAAGGGCACCCTTTTTATTCCTAGGTTACTCTTAGGTCTAGTAGCTGCACAGGAGCCGAAAGCCCGACCCAAGCCCGAATCTGAAATGAGAGATGCTATGCTTGCTGGGACGTGCCCGTGTTTGCTGCCGTAGTGCCGTAGTCAATGCTGATAAGCCCCGCTATTTGGATGTTTTGTATTGTCTTGCTATGTTACTGTTCGTTGTTCCTGTCATCACGCTTAACGTCGCGGTTCTGTTGCGATGCACAGCGCTGCTACATGTTCGTGCAACAAAGTTTTTCCAACCCTGGCCAGAGGCAAAGTCAAACGGGACTCACGTCACATGTATGTAAGATGATTGAGCTGAAAGGGCACCTGACGATTCGTTGAGTGGAGGATGGGGTACTAAACCAGCAGTGCTCAGTGCGAATCTGAGATCTGCTGTGCTTTGCCGTTGGAAGGTTGACAAGACCGAGATGGTAGCTGTCGTCGGATGGTCCTCTGGCTGTGCACTTTGGGTTTGGGGACTGCAAGACTTTGTCACACCCTTGATGGCTTGTGAGTGCAGAGCGTGGAAAAAAGGGGTCATGCCTTGAGAAATATGCTGGATGCCATCGCCCTCGTAGGATCCCCAGCGTCAGGCAACTCCGAGTTTACCCGAGCATACCACATGCCTCGGGACGCTTCAACTTGAAGACTCGAAGTCTGAGTCTGGATGTTCGACTCATGGTAACTGTAGGGGGCGATCGAAAATGGACGGCCATACCTGGCATGACTCTTCGCCCCAACTTCTTTCACTAGACGACAGCCTCTGTCACATGGGCTTCCGGGACGACGTCAGTGGTATAATTGTCATGCGAGTAAGAAGCTATACTGTACCAAGAAATCGGTCTCCCGTGCTATAAAGTCTGAGTCGCTCTAAAGTCTGAGTCGACTTTGCCATATATGTTCTGACAGCGGCAGGCAGCAATCCCCACCCGAACTCATTTAGCGCCGCCCAGCGAGCCAGGGCCCTAAGTGCCTAGGCTGCTCCGTGCCGTGGAAGCCAACAGCGAGCATCCACTTGCCAAGGTCCGATGTTTTATGTTTTGCATGCCCGGTTGGATTTGTGCTGGGTGCTGCTTGTATCATACATGCTTGCGCAGACCGTAAACCAGGCCGAAACCGGGTTCGTCGACGCCCTCGGTTCACCATTCCAAACCTTCAGAGTTCGCGACTGCTTTGAAGATTCGATACCCCTACACTGGCCCTACACTTGAAAGGCCAAACTTTGAGGAATATTACAGTCCCTGATTATACACGCAGCCCTATGCCAAGTAAAGCGGCCCCTACACCCTAAGCCGAAACCCCAGCCCAACTTTCTCTTTTCAAAAGTTGAATGAAACCTCATGAATCCTGACCCAGCCCGCCATGACTCCTTATAGAGTCCTTATATACCCTTATAGCCCTGATGATATTCTCTTGCAAGCAATTGCAGGCCCTGCTTCGTTGGGCCGAATCCACCTCAACCGGTCCGGCTGCCGCTGCCCGTGCGGCCGCGCACGTGCCGGGGCAAGGTGGACCGATGTTCGGTGGGCCCTGAATACTGAGTTTATAGGTTCTGGGATAATGGGATAGTTCCATAGGGGGAGAACCGGTCTGAGTTTGAAGGTTCTAGGATAGTTCCATACTTTATTATAGGAGAACTAGTATGTGTTTGAAGGTTCGAGAATAGTTCTGTACAGAAACAGTTAGATATCATATCATCCTCAAGTGGGAGCTCCCCCTAAACCTTGTTGGAAAAGCCCCAACTAAGTCCTAAACCGTCCTGAACCTAAACCTTCTGGCTGCACACGAGTTGCGAGAGCGTAAAGCCTAAGCCAAGAAGAAAAGTCTCGGAATCCTGTCCCCACAGAAGCCTTCCCGAGTATCGAGAGGTTTGCAGGCCCGGTAATCACAAAATATTCTGAAGCCCTGAAGAGACCCCCATCTATCGGTGCAAGCTACGTAAACCCAGAATATTATGACCAAGCCCTGCAGATACCGGCAATTCGCATAAGTTCCTGCGCAGGTGTGAGCTGTCACATCGATCCTTTGGGCGCCTCGTCTTTCGCTGGAGTGTCTGTTTAAAGGTTCAGGAGTTTGAGGTTCAAAGCCTTCCATGAACGTCGAGCCATGCAAACGCAGTGCTACAGGTTTGTTTTGGAAGGATTTTGGAATACAAGTCTTCGCCACGCAGGAGATGGTCACCTTGAAGCCTGAAGAAGCTGTCATGCCAAACTCATCTCGTGGCCTGCTTCCGGACGGTGGACTACTGACAACTGCAGGCTTGATATGGTTTATGCACAGTCTCCTGGCCCGGTTCAACAGCCCAGGTTGTGTACACAATTTGAGTGTGGTGGGCTACAGACATTCCGAAATCCCGAACGGACCTTTCGAACTGCTCCGTGCCTCTCACAGCTTATACCCGTTGCTTCAAGCCAGCTTCAAGTCCGAAGCACAAACTCCCAAGACCTTCAACTCCTCACCCCATGCACAACCCCAGTCCAGACCCTAAAGCCCACCCTCCTAAAACAAATCAAACTTTACGCCCCGCTTTCAACCCTAATTAGAAGCCCTGTTTAAACCCTACCTATAGTCTCCATTGTAGTTCCTGTTGGGGGTTACCTTATAGGATCCTAATTATATATTTGATTAAAGCAAAAAAGGAATTACTTTGGAGACTATAGGTAAACACTACTCTAAAACCTCAGCTTCGATGGGCGTTCAGGAACGGTTCGCTGCCAAAGCCTTGCAGCGTGGCAGGACGGGTGCACTTCCTGAAAAGCCCCGATCGATGCTCCGTCCCGCTTCTACACTAGGTAGGGCTTTGGGATATTTTATATTTTCCGTTGTTGGGCTGAAGAGGATCTTATTTACTAATATTTTTCAAAGGCTTTAAAAGGCCCACCTTGTACAGTTGTCTGGTTGGGAGCAGGGTATCCGTATCACCTTATAGTCCCTACATAACTTCATCGTGATGTACCAGCGGAACCCTTCATAATTATTAAGGCCCCTATATGGGTGGTTGTCAAAATTAGGGTCCCTTTTTGGGTACCCTAAACATTAGGTGCCGTACTATGTTAGGGACCCGGACAGGGACCCTAATTTTGACAACCACCCATGTAGGAGCCAGATGCCCAACAGTGGCAATGGGCGGAGAAGCAGCAAGAAGACGGCTGCGCAACACAGCTGCATTGCACCACCAGCCTGCTAGCGAGCTCTTCGGCAGGTGAGGTCCTGTAGGGGCCTAAATGATTGCCAACTATTTTGGGAGTTCCAGATTATAAATATGTAGTATGATGGGCCCCGAAACCCTATGCTAATCATTAAGGCCCCTATAATTAAGTGCATGTACATCCGGTGCATTGACATCATACCGGCTGCCTTCCCTCTATCACTCCTACTATCTACCCGGCTGGTGCACCTACCGCTGCCACTGCTCGTACTGCACCAAGAACCTCCCCTGGCTTGTTCGAGTGTTTTTGTTAGCCGAAGTCTTAAATCAAATTCGAATTCATCAACACCTCAGTTCAAAAGACACGCGAAGCCCCTAAACCGTCCCCTGAACCCTAAACCCAAAACCAAGGTAGTGGTGGTCCTGCAAGTTGAAGACCGCGCAGTGGCCCTCCTGGCCATTCGTGATGAAGTGCAGGCAGCACGTTTTAGGGGTTTAGGGTTCAGGGTCTGCAGAGGACTTTTGCAACGAACGAAATCAGCATCGGTAGTACGTGGCTACCTATATTCTCCATTGTAGTACCATTTTTGGTTGAACCTATTTTAAAAGTAGGTTCCGACAAGGTAACCCTGCAATGGGGACCATAATTAGAGTCATAGACGCCCCCGAACGTTTCATTGATTTGGGCTTTCTGGTTTGTGGCAGAAAGCCGCTAAGCTTCAGAACGCCTGCGATGGGTTTTTTTAGGATTCAGGGTTTAGGGTTTAGGGCTCAGAGTGTGTATGCTGCATCCTTGGATTTGTGGCTTTAGTTCTTCGCGCAAGTGAAGTCTGCAGGCCGAAACTCCAAAACCCTATACCGAAAAATCCTAAATCCTAAACCCAAAGGGGAAAAGGAAGGACCCTTAATGCAGACCCCTACCCTATAATGGGCTATATAATGGGTATATAATGGCTATATTAAGGGTATAGACCTAGGGGTCCTTATTAAGGGTCCCTCCTTTTACCCTTGGATAAATCCCTGAACCTCAACTCCTGCTACGGCATTTTCGCTCAAGTTCACGTTAGTGTGTTCGGTCGATCGCTTTCACCGACGGTCCTTCCGTTTGCTGCTATGGCGGCTCGTCAAGCGATCCGATGTGCGGTCTGCTGCAGCATCCTCATGGAGGTGACGTCGACTGGTTCGGTGATGTTCGGGGATGGCGAGTACAACAAGGCATCTCAGAGCCAAGCGGAGTCCCTGCTGCTGGCGTTAGATGGTCTCTTGGCGGACATGAAGAATTGGAAGAGTGAGGTCAGTGACATGGCCAGACTTCGAGTTGCCGACTACGGTTGCTCGCAAGGCAAGAACTCGTTGCCCGTCGTCTCTGCTCTGATTGCAGCAGGCGAGAAGACTCCGATCGATTTCTTTTTTACGGATTTGCCTCAGAATGATTGGGATTCGGCGAAGCTGGTGCTGGCATCCCTCGGGCACGTTGAACCAGCTGACAACACCAGCTTCCATTCCCCGGCTCTCCTACAGCCATTCGTGGATGATGCCGAGGCCGGAAGCCCCCACTCGGTGCGCATGTTCCTTAGTTGGGTAACATTTCATATTTTTTATGGGTACTTGAACCCAATAAGGAATGACCATGTACATTTTTTAATCCTATTCCAACAATGATGGTTACTTGAACCCAATAAGGAATGAACATGTGCATTTTTAACCCAATCCTATTCCCACAATGATCTAGGTTCATGTGCGGACGCAGCTTCTACGAGCAAGTGATCCCATCGAACTCCATCGGCCTCGGATACTCAGGTACTGCAATGCATTGGCTTTCCCATGCAATTAAGGGTTCTGGCTTCTTCAATGGCGGCGATGTCTATTTTCGCAAGCTGGAGCGGAACAGTCCAATGCGCCTGGAGTGGGAGAATCTTGCAGCCAAGGACTGGGAAAGCAATCTGAGATCTCGCAGTCAGGAGCTTGTCAAGGGTGGTTCTTTGCATTTTGTGGTTCCCGTCTTTGATGCTGAATCATGCCCAAGCTCCACGTATCAAAAGCTCTCCGAAGTGATGATGGAGACTCTGCAAACCCTTCTGCGTCGTGGTGAGATCTCGCAGAAGGAGGCTGATGCCTTTGTGATGCCAACCTTCGTGCGTTCCCGCGAAGAGTTCGAGGCTCCGTTTCAAGGAGGAGCATTCGAGGGGCTTGTGCTGGAGAGTTTCTCGACACATGTTCTCCCGTGTCCGTATTGGGAAACATTCAAGCACGACCCCGAAAGGTTTGCGGACTCCTATGTTCGCAGTGTGAGAGCGTGGAGCTACAACAGCTGGATCTCCAAGCTTGCCGCCGTCAGCCATCAGGCAGACACCATCGTCGAAAAGCTTTACAGGGCCATCAACGAGGGCATCATGAACAATCCTGAGGATTTTAGCAGGGACTTCGTGCAGGCGTACATGACGATCCGTAAGCTGTAGCTTTTGCCATACTTCGTAGATAATTTTAAGATGCTCCTCAGCTGTTGACCTGCTGGAGGCTGAAGTACTTGGCTTGTGGCCTTCGGCGTGATTTGCTGCCGGGAGTCTTCCTTTCACGGGCCTGAAGAGACACCGTTTGAAGTGAATTCGCGTCCCCCTGAGCGGCAGATTGCACAAGCGCACAAGATCGCACAAGGAAATCCTTTGTGGGGTCCACGAATTCTGCTCAAGTTCTCGCCTTCATCGTATTTCAACTTATTTCAACTCAGAACCCGAACGAGAATAGCAGCATCAGCAGAAACAACAGCCCCAGCAATAGCAACAAGAACAAGAGCAGTATACTTAGCTACTAGTGCCGACCAGTCAAAGTACTTCGAACCCGAGACCTCGTCTGGCAAGTCCGAGTTGCGAGAGCGTCAACCCCAACTCCTTAGGTGTAAACCCTACCCGGCTTCGTCCTTGCTAGGTAGGAATGAAAAGGAACCACCCCTAAACTGAAAACCCGAAACCCTGAACCAGGAAGCAGCGGCGGAAGTTGAGCCCTGACCTTGTTGAGCTTAGAACTTACCTATGGTCATACGGGTCTTCTTTCGGATCCTTCTTTTCCACGGTTTCAGTGTTTATGAGGTTTGGGTTCTCTAGATTACCTATAGTCTCCATTGTAGTTCCTTTTTCTGGTTAACCAGTTTTATGGTTAGGATCCTAGAAAATCAAAAAAAGGAACTACAATGGAGACTCCAGGTAGGGGCTCTTTTGGGATCCCTTTTTATCAGGGTGTTGTACTTCTTCGGGGCCTCAAAGGGACCCTAACTTGGAGAAGGCTCCGTTGTAGTTTTTTTGTTTTTTTTGGGTTTAACCTTCAAGTTTATAAGTAGGATCCTATGAGGTAGATCCAAAAAGGAATTGCAATGGAGACGATAGGTAAGGCTTTAGCACAAAGGGTTTCATCCAGGAGTTTATTGTGCTGGAGAATGGTCTTTAGGATGGGTCCTGCCGCAGGCAAGTCGTTACGCAAGCGTATCGAAACCCTGACGCTCGATGATTCATTGAAAACGCTCCACTAAGTGATGAGTGTGGTTCCAGTCTCTTTTTGTCGGTTTGGCAAGCATGCTTAGCTCATACTCTCATGACTACCGCAGCGGCCTAGTACTACTAGAGGCAAGACTGCAATCAAAAGTCTTCATACCCGTGCTTTCAACAGGATCTAGACCAGGCCAACGGCCTGAGAAAATGCTTTAGGGGCTTAAATAATTACTAAGACTGTTTTGGGGTTTCCTTATTATATTTGTAGTACAATGGGCCCCAAAACCCTATTCTACTTACAAGCGCCCCTATCTTCGAAGTCGTTTAGAACATGAGGCACTTTCTACCCCAATACTGCGCACCGTAACCCTGCTCCGCGCTTTCCCAACAGCCCAAATGTCATGAACAGAACCCCGAACCTCTAAACCCCTCAACCCTGAAAACCCTCAGCAAAGAGCCCAAAAGCCCTCTAAGTTACCCGAAACCGCTCCAAGTGCCTTAAACTCCTCAAACACCAAGTGTGAGCGCCGAGAACCTTGATCTCCAAACTCGGACACCGAAACCCTATAGAGCCCTTTAAAGAACCGTTATAGTGCGTGCCCCTTAAAGAACCCTTATAGAACCCCTTAAAACTTAAGGTTTCCCCCTGGCCCACACCGTTTCCGATGGTTTCCCTGGCCCACACCGTGGGAGTAAAACACCTTCCAAATGTTGGGTGGAAGCATGCAAGCAGCAGGCCCCGTTCCTCAACAATCTGGGCAACCCAAACCATGCGAAGGGCCACAACTTCTTCGAATCCTTGTTGTCCAGGTTGCAAGCACAGGATACGTGAAATTGATCCTTCTTCTGACCCCACAAGCGAGGCCAGAGCCCCACGAACTTTGGCGAACTTCTCGCACGACAACAGCACGTGGGCCAACGGACCCCGAACAGTCCTTCCGCAAGCAATGCACGAAGCCACCCGCCCTAGAAAAAGAACCCTTCAAGTGCCTTAACGGAAAGAGGTTCAACGTGAGACGGCACAAGGCTCTGCTGGCAAGCAGACTGTTCCATGATGAAGGTTGCTTCACAATTGAAGTGAGCATGCTGGACGGGGTCAATTCCGGGTAAATAATACCCCAAGGCAAAAAACAAGAAGAAGACTGAACCAAACTCTGCAGCTTGGCTAAGCACTTAGCCGCAAGCGTCTGCTTTACATACTGCTTATACTCTGGGATCCCAAGGCTCATGTCGTCAGAATACTGGGCAATACCCCAGTCATGGAGTAATTGAAGACTTCTCGTGCTCCAGCAGGCTGCCTTCGATTTCGCGGTCGTTTCAAAGACTCTGCGGTACAAGTCATCAGCTGGTCAGCATTGTATTCGCGCGCGCTTTACAGCAACATCGAAAAACTGCACGAGCCATGCCTGAAAGTGGCCAACCAAGTTCCCAGACGACTGCATGGGCAGGTAACCAAGCCGGAGCGCCTAGTAAGATCTTTGCCCAGCGATCATACACGTCATCAAGGATTCTTGTTGCGTCCGGGACCAGCACCGCACATATCCAACGACCTGGCCTCATGCAGGCGTCCACCGTCCCTTCACCCCCTATAGAACCCTTCAAAGAAGCCACCAAAGGGCTTTTCAAAGAAGAGACTTTTTGCCCCTTCAGAGAACCATTCTAGAAGTGTTTTAAATGCTTTTTCTCCGAAGCCTAAACCCTTTACAGAAACGCTACTATATAGGGGCCTAAATAATTACCAATACTATTTCGGGGTTCCTTATTCTAAGTATAGTATAGTGGGCCCCAAAACCAAAACCCTATTCTAATTATTAAGGCGCCTTCTGTTAAACCCTCACGGTAGCCCTTGTAGACCCTGTATAAGAATCCTTGAAAGGAACCCTATTCTAATTATTAAGGCCCCTATATTAAGCAAGCCCTAAACCCTTATAAACCCTAAAGCCCTAAACCTAAAACCCTAAACCCTAAACCCTAAAACCCTAGTCCCTAAACCCCTATATTAAGCAAGCCCAGGTAATGGGCCTCCAAAGTCGAGGTCTGGAGGTTTGGATGTGCACCCGGGCTCTTGTTAACTTAGGGGTACCTAGAAAACATTTTCAACTTTTGGTTAGTATAGTCCCTAAGAAACAGCAAAAATTACAAGTTTTTGCTAGGGTTCTAAGTTCAGTATAGTTAAGAATCTTTTTTTTTCCAAAGGGTCCTTTGGACTGTTATGGGGGATACTTCCCTGGATCGTAATAGAAATTCCTTATATGGAATCCCTACATTCTACTATACAGGTACATAGCACCCTTTGGGTTTTCAAGTTATGCCATCATTTTAGCGCTCCTTTAAGGGCTCTATAATATGAGGGCTTCTGTAGGGGTGTAGGCTTCAGAAAACATATTTACAGGTACCATACAAAGAAATCTGCTATGGAAGCTTATTTTCGTAATTAGCTCAGTTAACTTCGTTAACTAGAACTCAGGCACCGGCGACCAGCCACGTACGGCCCACGCAGTAGGGGGCCCGAGAGCTTTCTCAACTTGGGGGCGTAGGGTCTAGCGCTTTCTAGGGCCTTGGCTGAGGGTATGCATAGGGTTCAGGATTTCTGGGCTTAGGCGCTAGGGCCCTAGACTACCACGCTTGGCGGCTCTGGGTGTATTGTCACGGTGGTGTTGGAATTCGAAGTAGAGCTTAATGACAAATTTCTGCTCGGGTGTCAAAGGCTTTGTCACGGGTCTTAAAACGTTTTTCTTATGTTCTGTGTCACGGTGCAATGGAATCCTAAACTAGCCCGTCCGCATAACCTCCAACGAAAATTTTGATTCGTTTGTCCTTTGCCCCGCGAGGACGGAGCTGCAGCAGGGTAATTTCTCAGATAGGATATAGGGTCAGTAAGCGAAGATTTGATTAGGGTACCTATAGTAGTTCCTTATTTTGGTTTAACCAAATATGTAGTTAGGATCCTATAAGGTCACCCCCCCCCAAAAAAAAAGTTACTACAATGGAGACTGTAGGTAGGGTCCATTAAACTCCAGTGCCGCTTCGCCTTGCGGGCAGCCCTAGTCAGAGAAGACCCGGGCATGGATAAGAACTACGGTTGATGATAGAAATCTAGGGGTTCCTTTAAAGGGATCTATAAGGGGTACCTTTATTGGGGTTCCTTTAAGGGATCTATAGGGTTGTAGGGTTTAGGGTTGATGATGTTGAAATCCTGCATTACCTTAAGGATCCTAAACTATGGGAATTACGGTATATTCCTTATTATGGGTAATGCAGGATTTATATCATCGACCCAGACTAGGCCCTTATTCCCTTTGTTAGGGTTTAGGTTCCCTTACAGCACCCTTTAAACCAGAAAAGGCACCCTTTTTATTCCTAGGTTACTCTTAGGTCGAGAGTATGATGCGCTGCTTGAAGGATGCCGGACTTCGTAGCCTTGTGGATTAGGTACTCCCTTTAGCCTCGTTGCAGTCTTTCCTTCCCGCCAAAAGTCCCAAAGGTTAATCTTTGGTTTTCTAGGATCCCGGACAAGTAAGTAGCTACGTAACTGAGGAAGATAGCTGAAACGAGAAGCCTACTGCACCAGAGTGAGTGGATGTCAGTGGATATGCTTCTGTTGATGATATAAATCCTGCATTACCTTAAGGACCCTAAACTATGGGAATTATGGTATATTCTCAGTATGGGTCATGCAGGATTTATATCATCAACCGTTGGACCTCCAGATTTGGCTCACCTTGACAGCTGAAGCTTCAACTGAGCCGAATGCCCGGAAAGCAAACATGAATCCCACCCAGCAGCCTAGGTGGCGAGGAGAGTTGGCATCCACAAGGACGGGGGGCCCTACTTAATTTTCATGGGATTGGATCTTTTGGCCCAGTCTAGTGACTCCAAGCTCTTGCCTGCAGCAGTATTCCTTGACATGTGGCCCTCAGCTAACCGCTTTTGCTTCGAAGGGTATATGATATTCTACTTACCTTTGGTTAGAGTTAGAAAATTGTACCCCGTTCCTCCATTCCCTACTAACCAAAGGTAGATCTCCTAGAAAGGGACTTCGAGATTTCTGGGAGTTGAGACTCCTTCTTTCGAGACCTTCCTCATGTGGAATTTAGTTGGGATCTCGTTTGAACTCAGTTTGACGATACGCATACTCGAAGGGCCTAAATAGCTACCAATACTATTATAGGTATTATAGGGGTTCCCTCTTATAACTATAGAATCATGGGCCCCAAAACCCCATTCTAATTATTAAGGCCCCTATATTAAACCCTTCTAGTAGACCTTATATAGACCCTGTATAAGAACCCTTTAAAGGAACCTGATTCTAATCATTAAGGCCCCCATATTACCTCGACTCTTGGACTCGCCGTCCGAGTTTTGAGCTTACGCCCTTGCTACCTTAAGGGCCCCAGGGGCTGAGTATAAGGGGTCGAAGGGGAACTCCAGAAAGTTGCAATATGGTAAAAGGGTAGGATACCTTATAATTTACCATAAAGGGTTTAGGATAATCATATTCCAACTTTCTGGCTTTTACTGTAAGGGGTCTATGGGGGTTTCTGTGAGGGAGCCTTAGTAGCTGAGTAGGTATCCTCTAAGCTTTCTGGGGTTTGCATAATCCTACCATAATTGAAAAGGTTACCCTTTTTGGGTGGCTCTCTTGCTTAAGGTACCTGGCAGTATTTATATCATTAGAGCTATGCGTGGTGGGTGGTGGCATTTAGCGATACCCGCAGGGTTCCGGCTTTGAGAGGGGCTGGACTTGGACACTCCGGGCTTGGTACCTAATATTAGCATGGGGTTTTGGGGCCCAGTATACTATAGATATAAGAGGGAACCCCCACAATAGTACTGGTAACTATTTAGGCCCCTCTCGAAATCTACTTTGGATCTTGCTCGCCGTTCTCGGAGCCACTCAGAGCTTTAGACAGTCTGCTGTGTGAGCCATTGCCATGCATGGCCGTCTCGAAAGGATCGGGTGTTGGCGGCGTGCCTGCCCGATGCGAAATCCAAGCTCGTCCAAGACCTGTCTCAGACGGAAGAGGCCCGAGTCTGGATTCAATATAGGGGCCTCAATAGTTACTTACGCTATTTTATTTTTGGGGCTCCTTCTTACAATTTTAGTTTCATGAGCCCCCAAAACCCTATTCTAATTATTATCATTAGGACCTTGTATTATGGTTGAGGGTTTGGGAGTTTTGGTGCAAGTGCGCAGACTTGCATTCGACCTTGTGCTGGAATCAAGATGTCACTTCATGTTGTCAGCACAAGTACCCGAGGGTACAGGCTGTTGGTTTTGATCTCAAAAGCAAAATCTGGTGCATGTTGGACCAAGCATGCACCATCTTTTTGTGTTTGGTCGTAGACCCTAAACATGTATAAACCCTAAACCCTAACCTCAAACCTCCCAGAGCGGCTTCAGAATTGACCTTGATTGCGCCAGTAAGCCCTGGAAGCGGAGGTCCTCTCAAGCACAGGGGGCTGGTCTTAACAATAGAAAATGGCAGTATTAATTATATGTGTATCTTCGCATATATATATATATATATATATATGTGTGTGTGTACATGTATACATATATCTATATATACATATATATATATATATATATATGTATACACATATCCGTCTATATAATTGTTTATGTATGTATACACACACATATATATATGTATATATATATATATACACATGTATATATATATATATATATGTATGTATGTCTGTATTTGTTGTTGTTTTGAGATTTTCCTGTATAAGTGATTTTTAGCTGGGCTTGTGCCGTGAGTACTCGGAAGCATCTGCCTCCGATATTATTTGCGTGTGGCCGGTGCGGCATTTGGGGCGTAGGGGTGCGCATGTAATGACCTCCAAACGCAAGCTGGCAACTCACAAGTCCGAACACAAAATCCTGACGCTCTCACCTGCAGGTGCTGATGGTGGGCGACGGACTCAACGATGCTGCTGCACTCGCTGGCGCATCGATAGGCCCTCAATGGCGCACCAACCCGTTTCACTTCACGTTGTGCAGTGCATGAACACTGAAACCCTGAATGCACGCCCTAAGCGTTATAAGTCTTAGGCCACACACCCGGAACACCTAATGCAGGTGTTGCCATCGGTGCCGGAGCCCATGTATCTGTTGAGTCTGCCCACGTCGTCCTGATGGGCCGCTAGCTGGCATCCAGACCTCCCAAAATCCGTTAACTAAGGGTTATATACTTGAAATCATATCACGGATCCTACTTATTTGAGGGAGTTTGAAAGATCTGGGCATCTGGGATTTGGGGGTTTACATCATTATTCTTCGGATTGGGGTTTACAGGGTTGAAGGTTTCGCTAGTTTCAGATCCAGGCTCAATTCGGGCTCTTGTTTCATGTGTTAATTGAAAGTTGGCTGTTGTGAATCTGCTGTGCCCTTTTACGCTGTAGACTTTCCCAACCCTCGCCTCACTTGGTCGAGCTGCGAATGCTGAAAATAGCAATGCCCGAAAAGGGATCATGATTCAGCAAGCAAATGTGGCTTTCACGCGGTTGTGTTAGGCTTGGTGGGCTGCAATGGAGAACGTAAACCTAGTAGTAGAGTAGGTAACCTTTAACCTGTTTTGGGTAGTATAGTCCTTATATAATCCCTAGAAAACCAACAAGGTTAACCTTTAGTTCCCCATGATACCCGACAAGTAGGTAAACGCGAAACCGTATTGTCTCTTCGAAATTTGGGCTCGGGGCTTGGGACGTGGGAGAAGAACTGAAGGGGAAATCGAAGCACCCGGTATCCTTGATCCCCCACGGCAGTTAAAACTCCATATATATATATATATATATACACATATATATATATATATATGGGTTGAATAGTCGTACAGTTGAGTTTTAGCTCTTTTGCACAACCTTCAGCCTCTTATAGAGACATAGTCAGTTCCTGATCTTGAGGTAGACGGGAGTTGAGTCATGCGAAGTCTTCAGCGACGAGGCCCCTAAAGAACTACCAAAATTATTCCCCAGGGTCCAGGGTCCCTAATTATAACTACAGTATACACCGAAACCCTATCCTAACATAGAACTCTACTAAAGACCACTTATAGATCCCTTTTAAAGGAACCCTTTAAGGCAAGGGAACCCTATCCTAATCCTTAAGGCCTCTATATCACAAGGCTCCAGGCTGTCAGATCTGCCGATCTTCCTGGATTTGGCAGCGGCCACGATGTGACGTGGCATTGGTACCCTAGACCCCAATTCCTAAACCCTAAACCCTAAACCGTCTTCGGGTTGGTACCCAGAGAGCCCAATACCACTTATCTAAGGAATATTTTAGAGGGCTTCATATTATGATTTTAAGGTATATTCCTTGATTGAGGGGTATTGGGCTCCCTGGGTGGGTTGATAGAGGGGGCCGACCTCCGGGTTCAGGGGTGTAGAATTTAGGATTTTGGGCTCAGTTGGGGTTTCCTAGAGCCTCCATCTACCCTTTATTAGACCCTAAATGCCCCTTACAAAAGACCATATACCCCTATTTGAGGGTACAAGGAGAGTCCTGGTTGACAGGGTTCAGCATTTAAGCTTTAGGGCACTGTCGGAGTTGTGGTTTAGCCTTGTGTTCTGGGTCTAGTTCTGGTGGTTTTGCTACGGCTTTGGGCGGCCAACAGCTGCATTCCTGAACTGTCAAGGGTCCAGTTCATGGATCAAAAAAAAGCTTAGCGATCAAGCTTTCTGCCGAAAGCACCGTGGAATTAATTGCCCTTAAAACCCTCTGCAACCCTACCAATGAAAATCCCACACCATAACGGGAAATCCTTGCCTTCCCTGTGCAAGCAAGCGTGCCTGTGTTGAGCGTTTATGGGGTCGGACACCAAAATGCACACCTAAGCGCCCAAACTTCAAGACCATGGACAATAATAAGCCATGGACAACTTAGCCGGAATCCTTTTGAGGACCGGGCAATTGTGGTTAAGGGTATCCAGCCCAGTGTTGCTGTCCGAGGCGAAGGACCCATACCAGCCCTGGAGTTGAAGCAAAACCTCCCCATCCCCAAATCCCTATACCAAAGTCCGCACTATTATCCTAAAGCCTTATACCCTAAGGCCCCAAAGTAGTTCCTTTCGGGGGTTCATACTTTAGAATCTTATGAGGTAATCCCAAAGAGGAACTACTATGGGGCTTCAGGGTAACCCTTATTCCTCCGTAACGCCTACCTACAGTCTCGATTGTAGTTCTTTTGTGGGCTTACCTTGTACTATCCTACGTATAGCATTGGTTAAGACAAAGCAAGGAACTACAATGGAGGCTAAGTACAGGTAAAGCCTTACAAGCCGACCATCGAGGGTCCCCCAAGCCCGAACCCAAAGGCTCCAATATCCCTATACAATTGAGGAGTATACCGCAAATTCTAGACGAATCCCTGATATGATTTATAAAGCAGTATTCCTTAATCAAGTGATCTTATTCGAGTCTCTAGCAGAATCCCCGATATGATTTAAGCAATATTCCTTAATCAAGTGATACTATTGGAGTCTCTGGGAACGTGTGAGGCGCACCATCTACCGGAACTTTGTCTGGGCGCTGGGCTTCAACCTCCTAGGCCAGCAGGGTTGTGCTCTTTGCCGGGTGTTGGGCGGGGTTCCCAGAGACTGCAAAACCCTCAATTACCACCCTAAATCAGAATAGGATCCTTAATATGTTTTAAGGTACAGTATTCCTGAATCAAGTGATATTGGAAGGTCTGGGTTTGGGTGTGGATGTCATTCCCGAACGTTCCGTGGGGGCTTAATTCTTATGTACCCCGAATTCTAGGTCCCGTGATCCGCGCATTCAAAAGTCCGTAAACTGACAAAACAGGCTGCCCGAACAAGCAAGCTGTCAATGGCCACATACGGTGCTTAGATAGCGACTGCGAGGGCTTTTTAGACATTTTGGCTTAAGATATTTGGTCTATCTTAGTTCGAACTTTTGGGGAAAGGTTGTTGAAGAACAGAGACATTAGCGAGCCCTAACCAAACCCAAAACCAACCTTAAGAGAACCGTCCGGGTCGAACTTTGGACGATGGAGTTCGACGATAGGAAGTCGATCACGTCATGTGCGATGATGTCTAGGATGCCCAGTAGTACCCTTATTCCCTTTTGGTAGTCCTAGGTTCCTTATAAAGTTACCCAATACCAAAAAGAGAGGCCTTTTTATTCTTAGGTTACTGGGTATCCTAGATGTGTGATGGGGCCGCACGCTACTGAGCCTTTCTCGAGCAACTCTACATCCGACTGACTAGCCAGCACACCGCTGAACTCGCTATCTTGATTTCAATAATGGTCACGACTTTTCTTGACAGTTTGAGCATGCTTGTGATAAGTTTAGTGTTTAGTAATCACGGATAGTCACGACAGGCATAAACCCCGAGTTCCCTGCCAGGGCTGCCCCTGGCAGCTGGGTGTGGCGAGGCAGGGTAGCAAAGGGGTTCGGGCCCTAAACCCAGTAAACCCCAAAAAGTTGGAAACCGGATTAAGGCCAAATAGTGCTGGGATTCCTTATACATTACTCTTAAGGATTGAGGCTATGGGGTTTCCAACTCTTGTGCTTCTACTGTACACCCTAAACTCTAACACGGCCTTGAGGCTTTGGGGTTCCGGGTTTAGGGCCTAGGATCTACTCGGGTCCAGGGTTTAAGGTTCAGAACGTCGAGGTCGGTCCACTGTTTCTTCTGGCTCTCGATTGTATTTCTGTAGAGTATATAAGAATACCACGGAAAGCTTCCAGGTGCCGTGTCTAGGGATTCCCGTGATAGGTGTACAGGTAAAGAGTGTGGAGTTTGGTTAAAGTTTCATAATCGAGCACCCCTCCACTGTCCTCCTGCATGCATTCCTGCATGCATAGGTGCCGAATCTGGCCCACGAAGGTATAACTAATACACTTGTTACCTGGACCCCCAAAGTGTGTAGCATGATAGTTGTTTATGGTTTTTGTTTTTTGTTTTTTACCTGCTGTTGGGGGTCTAGGTATGCACACCCTTTAGCAGCTCCATCTTCCCACGATTTAGGGTTTCCCTTGTTCAGGGCTTAGCCAAAAATGCACCCGAATTGCAGAGCCAGCTAGTCTTACGAACTTTCGAAGCCCCTTTGCTAGGCAATCCTAAGTCCATCAGAGGCATTTGGCATTTCTTTGCCACCAGTCGCATGCGGTGCGGCGATGGCTTGCTCTTCCGTGCTAGTCGCCGCCCAGCTTCAGCTTACAGTCAGTCGCTCTTCAGGGTTTCAGGCCTTGTGCGGTAGGGTTTAGGGTTTAGGCTTTAGCGCAGCTGCTAGATTTGTGATTTGCTTCCACGGTCTCGAGGGTATTCTAAGGTAGGGCCTGGCAAGGCTTAGCATTCCGGGGTTACACCTGTTGTTGGCTTTGTGTCTGTTGTTGACGGGGGTGGTATGTATGCATATATAGGTATATATATATATATATATATATATATGCGACGGCTTTTATTTGCGTTTATACTACAGTACTTTGAAACGAGATACCTCCGTGCAGTATTTTTGTTGTCGGAACTAGCCCTACTAGGGGAACGAGATAGGGGCACCGCTTCAAACGAGATCGACTTGTTCTGCCAGTACTTAACATGATGAAACGAGATAGGGGCACCGCTTCGAGATAGCGTAATTAGCCCAAGCAATAAATAAACGCAGAGGCTCATATATATATATATATATACACATACATATATACATATATTATATACATATACATATACATATACATATACATATACATATACATATACATATACATATATTTGGTTGCATATGTAGTACTGCATTCATAGGTGTATACGTGCAACACAACAACCCGAAATCTTCTTCCGCAGCCATTTTGTAGTCATTTGCTAGCTCTAGGCAGACCTGGAACCAGGTCTCTTGCCTCGACAAGGCTTTTGACCTCTGAGACCGGGTGACTGTGATTTTTTTCCTGCGACTGGTGACTGGCATGGTGTTGGAGTGCTTTCTGTTCTAAATTTTCAACGGCATTTTCAGCCTCAGGCATGCACCGCAGAACCAAAATAACATACGGTTTAGACATGGCAGGTCAAGGACGATTGTTGGAAGTTGTGTTGAATGTCAGTCGATCCAAATCGCAGGATTCACAGTCACTTAGTGTCTTCGCTCCCCTCTCATCATTTGTGCCATGGAAGAAGCGGGCAGGCTTCTGTCCGTCATCGAGCTTGACGAGTTCACGATCAAGGAACATGTAAAGTCGCGCTGTAATCCGTTGCCTACCATGCACAAGCCCAGGGCAAGCTTTCGTTCATCACGCGACACTTCATCTCCCCTTCCATTTGCAGCAAAATTCTTCAGTCTGGTTCCCCTACCCCACAAACAGATCATACAAAAAAGCAGCCCGACCCTTTAATTGAATCTTGCGTAGGCCGTAGGCCACTCAAATAAACAACCCAACCCTTTGTTTGAATTTTTCCTTAGGCCCTCGGCCACTTGGTATTCAAAGGGGTACTTAGAAATAATTTTCAATTTTTGGTTATTCTAATCCCTAAGAAACAGCTGAAAATATAATCTTTGAGGGTTCTAAGTTCAGTATAGTATGGTTTTTGGCAGATCAAACACCCTAAACCCTAAACCCTAACCCCAAACCCTAAACCCTAAACCCTAAACCCTAAACCCTAACCCCAAACCCTAAACCCTAAACCCTAAACCCTAACTAACCCGAAGGAAGTCCAAAACGGCTGGGCGACCACCGAGAAACGGCTCGGTGGGCCGAAAAATGCCGGTGAGCATGTCTTCGGGAAGCTCAAGAAAGAGGCCTACTTGGAGGATCATGGGACTTAGTAAGTAAGGTTATAAGTACCCTATTTGGGGTTATAAGTATAGTTACCCTAATTATAACCCTTTCTTGAGGCCTTGTTGGGGTTCACTATACCTAGAGGCTCAAAAGTAGTTCCTTTTTGGGGTTCATATATTCAATCCTATATAAGGTAATCCCAAAAAGGAACTACTTAGGCGTACTTAGAAATAATTTTTAGTTTTTGGTTATTATAATCCCTAAGAAGCAGCCAAGATTATAATTGTTGCTAGGCTTCTAAGTTCAGTATAGTAGTAGTGGAGTAGGCGGAGTAGGTAACCTTTCACCTTGTTGGGGTACTATGATCCCTAAATATATCCTCTATAATCCCGTAGTAGTAGCTGAGTGGATACTCTTTACACTTGTGGGATAATATTACCCACATAAAACTATAAAACTGAAAGTGTATACTTTTGGGGGCTTGTGAACTCAGCATCTAAGATCCCAAGGGGTAACCTTTAGCTCAAGAAATAAGCGGGGGCTCCGCAAGTTCGGCTTCCTCCTGCTGTTGGGCTCCTGATGTTAAGGATCCTACCGCTCATTGTCGGCATACTTCCGGATCCTCCATTTTCTGTAGGTATGTATGCATCGACAGAGATATATCCATAGATCGAAAGTCGAAATATGGTGGCTTGATAGAAACGGACAGATGTAGAGAAACTTACGTAGATAGTTCGGAAATGCCATAGCCTTGAAGCCCCAAAAACTGAGCTCAAAGCGCGAGCGTTGCACTACTATTTCTAAACCTTACAGTAATTACAGCCTAAACCCTAAACACCTAAACCTTAAACCCTTTACCTACCAAAACCTACTTTTTGTAGGGTCCCTTTAAATTCCATATTAGGGTTTATAATAAGAACCCACAAAAAAGGTAGGGTGTGGTAGTTTAACACCCAAACCTTAAACCCTAAACCGTAACCTTACCCATACTCCCCAAAGTAGTTCCCTTTTGGGGTTCATATATAGAATTCTATAAGGTAATCCCCCAAAAAGTAAGGAACTGCTTTTGGGGCCTATGGGTAAGGCCCTGAGAGGTTCCCCGGACCGAGGGCATGCTCAAGAGGTCCAGCACCTAGGTAGGGCTTTGGGACATTTTATATTTTCCCTTATTGGGCCTAAGAGGATCTTATTTACTAAGATTTTTCAATGTTTTTAAAAGCCCCACCTAGGCACAGTTTGGCACCTCTTCACCGAGTTGCTGCAAGCTCCTTGGACGTTGTGTGTTTAGGGTTCACGGTTCAGGACCGCTAATCCAGGTGTAAGGATTTAGGGATCAGGGCTTTACTAACTTTACTGGTTTAGGGCTTTGAACTGAAATTGTGCCTCTTGGGTCTTATGCTTCATATGCGAGGCTCTTGATCAGCCGAAACTAGTTCAACAACGCCTTGAGTACATCGCCTTGCGACACATGAATGCGGACATCACAACCGCCGACATCGAGGTGTTCCGCAACATCCTCTTTGATGTTTGTGCATCAAAGCTTGGTGGGCTCATGACTCCAGAGTTTCAGTTTGGCATGGGCCAGATCATTGTGGCCGTGGGTACCTCGTTGGCCAAGACCCACGAACACTATGCAGCACGGCTCAAGCTGTTGACATCCTGCTGGAAGGAGGTGAACGCGGACGATGTTGAGGCCGAAGTGGAGTCTCATGCCGAAGGACCAGAAGAGCAGGACAAGCTGGCCGAGGAGCACCAGACGAATCTGGACAAGGCAGAGAATGCCATGGGCAGCATGGAGCAGGAGGAGGATCAGAGAAAGCGTGGATCATGGCAGGATAACTCAAACATGAACATTCCGAAGACCTTTGCAGCCATGGCGCGATTCAATGCCGCCGTCATGGGCACAGGAGACCGTATGTGGTTTGCTGATATGCTCTATGCCATGGAAACCCTCGTGCCCTACGTCGGGAACATTGACCGAGTCCAGGAGGACTGCGATGTCTTGACTTTGACGCTAGCGAAACATGGGAAAGTGAATTTGAAGGAGTTCCGTTCCGTTATGTTCGCCAGCCTCAGGTCTCTCCTGCCCACGGCATGGAGCACGGAGCATGAGAATGCATGGGCTTGGTTCTGGAGCATTGTGGAGAAGAAGGTTGAAGATAACAGCGAGCTCATCGTAAGGAACCACCAGTGCCTGCGGACTTTCCTAGCCCGCTTGGATGAGGCTAAACTGGCAGACTTTAAGCTCCAAGTCTTTGATACTTTCTTCGCGAATTGCGCGGAGTCGCAGATCTATCTTCGGGCGGCCAACAAGCGGCTGGTCTACATTATGGGGAGGGTCCTGACGATTATGTCAGACATCTACACCAAGACTCACCAGGCTGTCATCGCCTTGTCAGCTCTTGGCCTCATGCATGCAGGCCATGGCATTCCCGAGGATTTGGTTCGCCCCTTCGTGCAGGCTTTCATGCAAACCATCAAAGAATACTGCCCGGATGAGTCTTTGCATGATGGCCTCTGGTGGACTCTGGACCTCATTGGCAGGATCTTCATCCGCACCTTGGCGGAAGGCTCTACGCCAGTGATCATCGCAATCAACAAGAACGCCTCAGCAGAGATGCAGACCGCTGTCGCGAATTATCCACGTGGGGAGCGCGAGGTGATCTTGCTGCGCGTCCAGGTAGGCCCTTGTCATACCCAGCTATAGTGGGATTGTCAGCTACACTAGAAGTACGTAGCATACCTAGAGAGGATCCCGGAGGAGCGCGACCGAGAGTTTCGACTTAAGACAAAGCCAGGCTGACTCCTCAAGCGCTGTAGCAGACACAGAGGCAAGATGGGAAAAGCAGATAGCAAACATGCAAGTCTGTAAGATTCAGGTGGGCACCGAATCCATGTCCCCTTTGATCTGGGCGATCGAGAAGCTGGGTTCTTGTTGAGGAACTGAATTTAAAGAGTTGCCATAGTACATTAGCTACGACTTAGTTTCTTTAAAGAAGAACGTTAAACCTACAAACCCTAATTACCCTAAACCTCTATAAACCCTAAACCCTGAACTAAGAGGAAGGGGGCGCTGGAGTCCGCGAAGGCCATTCTCAGCGACCTCTTGACAATGCGAGCGGATCGAGAGCGCTACTACTATGGCAATTCGGGAAACCTTTTGGTTTCCCGATATGCTTCCTATAGACTAGGACCCAGAGTAGGCCTTATTCCCTGTTTAAGGGTTCAGGTTCCCTTATAAGCCCCTTTAAACTAAAAAGGGCACCCTTTTTATTCCTAGGTTACTCTTTGCTCTGGTAGAGGTACCCGTTCATAAAGACCTTTCAGAGCCCCAAACCTGCAACCCAGGCTACTACTATGGCATGGAAGCATTGCTCCCGGGCCAGGTTTAGGGTTAAGGTCTGAGGGAATGTGAGGGATCGTCTTTGGGCTCTTGTGTGGTTGGGCCTTTCCTAGGATTTGAAAGTGAACCCCTGTAGACAGATATGTTTGCTTTGCTTTCCAATGGGGACCTAGGTTCACTCGCCACGCAGACATCATCAGCATGCTCTGTGACAAGGCGCCCTCGCTGCTTTCCACGTTGTTTGACGGGCTCATCTGGCGTTCCAAAAATGTCACTAGGTTCTTGAGTAGTACCCTTTTGCCCTTTGTATTTCAGGGTCTCCTTTTGAACGCCGAATACTAGGAAAGACGGTACCCTGATTTTTGAGAGGTCACTCAGGAACCTAGGTCAAAAATGGGCTCCGTCGCGCGAACTACTACATCGCTTCGTTCCTCAGGGATGATGAGGGTCAGCTGACCAATTCACTCTTGGAGACTTGGCAGCTCCTTTCTGTTTCTTTCTGAGAGTTGAAGGCTAATTGCTAAACATTTGCCATCGTATATGATGCCTGTCTAAGCCCGGAAAAGTTAGTTTCACTTGCCCTACGTATCTGGGCAAGAAAGGATTTGATCAAGCACGGTGACCCGGAGATCATTTGCCACCCTACGGCAGTCTTCCAGGCGGACTTGCTTTGGAATCGTCTTTGTTGTCTCCCGTGGGCCCTGACGAAGTTGTGGTTCTGTGTCACTCTGTTGGTCTACGTTATGGCCGAGCAGCAACTCGGCTACGGTGGGTAGCCTTTTTTACTTGAGGAAGCCTCTGTACTGTTTAGATGGTAACATCCCCATGACTCAGGCCCCCCCTCCAAAAAAAAAATTGAATCGGGTCACATTTTCCTGCAGCACGATCCGATATGTAAGCTTTCGCAGAGGAGCCCTAGTTCAGGCAAGCCTTCATTCCACGTGATCCATTGAGTACAAAACGGTATTCTGTGGTCTTTTGCCGGGCGTTCTTGTACATCTGTAGCCTTGGGCAGCTCTTCGCCAAACATGGGTACCAAACCTACAGGGCGATCCGCCTGAAGCAAGTGACGTGCTTCTGTGGCTGCCTGCCCGTGCCGAAGTACATGCTGCAGACCCGCCAGGAGGTGGTCGAAGTGCTCCTGCTTCTGTGCTTCATCTTCCTGTTCTGCTGTGAGCCCGTCCTCCATTGCCTCGCGGTCAGTAACGAGTTGCTCATTGATTGCTGCGAGTTCGGCGAGTGGCAGTGCAACCTGATGCACATCTACAACCAATTTGCCGCCTTCCCGATGCTCCTCTACTTTGCGCTTGCATGCGAGTTGGTGCACCTGAATGTGCACCTCTCCGTCTTCAGCGTGATCTGCTCGAGCCTGATGTGGGAGTTCATCATGTACCTGGCAGTCCTGTGCTTCTTTACCGCTGCTTTCGCCTCGGCTATTGCTTGCTTGCCTCACTCCCTGGGCACTGAATCCGTTCACATGAGGGATTTCTTCAGCTGGCCTTTGGCTTTCGAGTCCTTGCTGTCCATGGCGTTCAATACTTACGGCGCTGACAACTACGAGGAGATTCTAGGTGGCAATTTGGGAAACGATTGAATTTTCCCAGATCTACCTGCTCATAAATACATTTCAGAGCCCCAAAACTACAGCCCAGGATTGCTCAGGCAGACGAGCCCTTGCTCAAGTGGCTTGTGATGGGGTTCGCTGCATGCTGGCATGTGTACCTAGGTGGCACTTTGGGAAACTTTGAACTTTCCCTCATGGTTCCTGTAGAGGTTCCTCTTCATCTGTAAACACTTTTAAGGACCCCCAAAGTGCAACCGAGGTACCTGATGAACCTGATGGTGGCACAGCTCTGCCAGCGCTACAAAGAGCTCTTCCTCGATGCACGGGGCAATGCACGGTTGACACGTGGCATCAACATCTACGAGACCGCGATGCCATTGATCTCCAAGAGGCGATGGGCAGCTTTCTTGACGTCCTTGCGCTTGGAGGAGGCCTGTGAACTAGACGAGGGCGACAACGGCCCTCGTGGTGCCGTGCCTACGACAGAGGACCCCTACGAATATCTGCAGTACCCCAAGGTGCCGCTAGACCGGGTTCAGCGCTATGGTGGGCTTGCAAAAGCAGAATTGCCTTGGCCAGCCTTGGAGGAAGCTGTGGATGACAGCGATATTGGTAGGTTGGCCCAGATGACACAAACCAAGTTTGAGGAGATGGACAGGCTCATGGTCGACATGGCCATCAAGCTTCAGGTTCGCTCCGCTGCGGGGACTTCTGGCACAGGCTTCTCAGCTTTGCATGCATCGCAGCAGCGCGATGGGAGCAAACTTGCTGACGATCGTGACGCCAGCGCTGTGAAGGAGATGACTGCCACCGAGCTCATCGAGGAGTTCACTGAGGAGGCCGAGATCGTGAATGCAACTCCAGCGGACGTCATTCCCAACTCGAATCGCAGCCCTTTTGGCATGAAGATGTGAATTCCTTCAGCTGCACATTTGAACTTTTTAGGAGAGGGGCTGAGACTGGGCTGGTGGGCAAGCGGGGGAGGAAGCATCTAGGAATCTAGGGCCTTAAGCATCGCCAAGAGGGAAATGCCAGCCCAGAAGCCAGCTTCAGCTTCGAAGATTTTTGAAGGTCCCACTCAGCCACTGCTTCTTTCCTTGCAGATAGGTGTCTCTGGTCTATGTAATGTCACGACCCGACGCCTAACTGCGAAGGCCTCCAAAAAGCGAATACTGGACATGCAAATGCAAGCACATGATCAGCATAGCCAGTATGCAGCCAAGATACTGCCTAAAAGTCTTAGAACTTCATGGGCGCAGGCTATGTGGAGCTGGCAGAAGGGAAGAATCTTGGTGAACATCGCCATCAGTTTCTTTAAAGCTGACCCGCCCTGGCAACATCCCAAGCTTGCACAAATGGCGGCCTAAATGCAACCATGTTTCAAGGGGGGTCGCCCCGGTTACAGTCCTTGCTGTGGCCATTTCGCTTTCCGAGATCGTGCATCAGCGACAGGCTGGATACACAGCGTCTCGATGTCATTTAACCGCAGCAGCACGGAGCCTGCTGCAAAAGACTTAAATACCTTCAAAGACTTGCTCTGAGTTTCGGCAAAACACAGCGAGGCTTTCCTGCCGATTGGCCTTAACTCCCAGAACCTCGGAACCCGTTCCCGTCAACCGAAGATGCCTACAAGCAGCTTGCCATGTCCTACCACTGCCAAACCAGCCACAAACCTTCCAAGCACAAAGCCACCAGCTCTGCCTTTTTGGGTTAACAGAAGTTGTGTTATATGATTAAAACCGTAGAACTGCTTCTATAACTCAAAAAGAAATACAATGGAGACGATAGGTAGATTCTAGATGCGTGCCCACCCTCAGAAGCCTCACCTCCACTTCCCCTTACCACCGGCTTCCAGGGACAAAAATAGACAAAGTGGAAGATCTCTGGCCTCGTGACACATGCAGATGGGCTTATCTAGGGTTTGGGATGTAGGGTCCTGCCGGAAAGGCTCTGCAAGGTGTGATAATCGCATCTGGCCAAAACTGCTTCGGCCTTGAGAGCTGAGGTAACTTGCGCCTAAGAACACGGATCGAGGGTGATAGCTGGAATCTAAGCCCGGTTTCTCTCAACGCATTGCCCCGTCCCCTGAGAGGCCCGTGTACTGGTTGGTGCCCAGGTGTCTTCTTCTTTGCTTCTTGGGCTCTGCCATCGTGTTCCACGAGGCCAAAAACCGTGAGACACGTCTTCCGCTGGCTTGTAGCCCGTCCGGCCTTTCTCGCAGCAAGCATCTCAGGATGCGGGGCTCCTACTTGGAGGTTCATGGCTAGTTATAAGTGGGGTTGTAAGTACGGTAACTATAGTTATAAGCCCTATTAGGGGACTTACAATCCTACTTATTAACTACCCGTGAACCTTCAAGTAGGGGTTTGCTTGAGGCTCGATTTTCCCTAAGGCTCCATAGTAGTTCGTTTTGGGGGGGCTCATATTTAGACTCCTATAAGGTAATCCCAAAACGGAACTACTTTGGAACCTCAAAGCACGCCCTGAACCCTTCACCCTTATCGACTCCCTATAGATCCCTTTAAAGGGGCCCTTAAAGGCACACTTATTACTACCCAAGTATGGGGGTGTCTTTGAGGCTCGATTTTCCCGAAGGCTCCATATTTAGACTCCTATAAGGTAATCCCAGAAAGGAACTACTTTGGAGCCTCTGGGTTTAACCTTCAAGTAGGCCCTAAACCCCATACCGTTTTTGAATCCCTTCAAAGGGGCCCGAAGGGGTTTGTTTGAGGCTCGATGTTGTTCGCAGGAGATCATGGATGCATACGGCTGCCCGAGGATCCTCGGGTCGAGGGTTTAGGGTTTAGGGTTTAGCCCTAAACCCTAAACCCCAAAAGGGCCGTCTAAAAAAAAAAATCCTAAACCCCAAACCCTAAACCCTAAACCCTAAACCCCAAGCCCATGTCAAATGCAATTCAGGAAAGTACTACCTGGACTTCAAGAGTATGTAGAGTAATAGCCTTTTTGTAGGTTTTGGGCCATGGTTCTACCTACTCTTGAGGGTCTAGGTACATCCTACATCCCCGACCAGGATTTCGAGCAGTTGCGCTAAGAAGCTATGACCCCCGGCGGGTTGTGTGTTTCAGCCGTTTCCATGCCTCTGGAAAGGCTTTGGAGACACCAGCAGCTACTAGTAGTGGCTGGCTGGAAGAAGCAGGGGAGGAAATATGATATAATGTGTCAGGATGTGAGAGCTGATGCTGCGAGAGGTTCCGCTGAGTCACTTACTCGCTTGACCGAGGGTCTTTGGACCTCTTGGATCACGTCTCATCGAGAGAGGAGATCCCAGAGCCTCCAAAACCCCTTAATTAAGGAATATACCTTAAACTTAAACCATAATAGGATCGGAATACACCTTAAGCTTAAATCATAGTAGGATCCCTGAAATGATTTAAGTTATGGGGGTTTTGGAGGCTCTGGGATGTAGTCATTTCTCCTGCCACCGGGTTCAGGCATGGTCCGATCCCCTGGAGGCCCCTCAGGTACTTTGGGATGGAAGCCGAACAACGGTTGATGATATAAATCGTGCATTACCCATAATACGGAATATACCATAGTTCCCAGAGTTTAGGGTCCCTAAGGCAATGCAGGACTTAGGTCGTTTTCGGTATGTCCACAGTTACATCTTCGAAACCTACGAAGTAGATCTAGTTAGCAAGGGCCTGATGGTGGTCGTGGTGCCGAACTGTTCGCAACTAGTCGTAGCGGCAGTGGCAGTTGGCTGAGGCAGCAGCAACACAAAGGCGTCCAGAGTAGGGTTAAAGCTGCACAGGTCACATTGTAAACCGTAGTGACGACAGACATAGCAGCGGCAGCAGCAACAACAGTGACCGTCAAAAAATGCGAGCTACGATATCAAGTGCTATCGTCCTCGTAGCAGTGGCCCGTAGTTGCGGTAGGCATAGCCACAGCGCATTCTACTATGCTACTACCAACCCAAGACTATTAGCAATGATTCCAAACTGAGAGCTTTGCTCAGAGCAGGCTCGGAGGAGGCCTGAGGTCAGGTCAGCACAACTTCGATGTTGGCACCACTGTCATATGGGTAGTTCTGTAATACTATTCTGGGGACCTAAATTAAAAAGGGACCCTGATTTTAGAGAACTGCCCATACGAACCTTCCCAATAGCATTTACAGAAACCCATATAGCACCCTCGTTTCCACGGCAACCCGGACCGTTCCCTGAATCAACTGCCGACTGCGCACCTGTGGCGAATACTGTTAATTGGGCAGTGCCCAGGACGCGCAAAGGCACGGATTGACAATTGCCGCCTGCAAAAAAGGTGTTTCTTCCCCTCCCCCCCTTCGGTTTGTTGACGCGTCGACCTCATCCTACAAAGCATCTTGTTGGCAGCGCTTTAAGTTACAAAACCCCTTTTTTATGTCCCGAGGTTAGTACGGCACCCTTATAGATCGGATTCTAAAGGGTACTTTAGAACGTACCCTATTTTTGCAGAAGTACCCTTGTGGCTCTTGCAACACCGAGAGAGAGGGGGCAAGAAGCCGAGCCATGTACACTTAAAAGTGCCGCAACGAGAGTTGGTGCTTTGCAAGGCATGCCCGACTACTGCACCATCCTAGAAGGATCATGGGACCTATCATCAGGATCTCACTATGGTATCTATGATAGGTATAAATTTGGCATCTATAATGGTCAGAACTACTATACGTCGCTGCCAGACTCCACAAGTCGGAGGCCCACAGCCAGAACCTCAATTACACCCCCAGCCATCGCTAGGCCCTCGAAGCTAAGCCCTCCATCT